GTTATGCCTAAAAGTTAATATATATAGTTTTTTAATTATATTTCATTTGTCATTAAGATCATGCTCAATATTACAGCACGAATAACATGTTTTGCACGACAGCGAACACCTCCGTCTTCATCTTCATTCACTACTACATTATCCTCGTCATCAATTCGACCACTTGAAGTAAGTGGATGGTGTTTTGAAAATGAAGCACAGAAAAAAAAAATTTCATATCTTGAAGACGTATTGATCTCAATATTTAAAAATAGCATGAAATCGAACATTTAAGTCCCCAAAAAAGAGACGACGCGATTAAAATTTCAGACTCCCTGAGAGTCGGAAAGTATACACTTGAAGAAGTTGAAGATTGTTCGTTATTGGACAGTGTCTTCTTTTTTAATTTTTTAATATTCCTATGAGACACTTTTCTATACATCCTTCCTGCTATTTTACCATTTTGACATGGCTTCTGAGAGATTCTATTAATAGGTTTTTTTCAAACTGATATTATTTAGTTCACGTTGGTTTAACACATGCTAAGCCAATAAACAGGAAAGAATAAAAAAAAGAGTCTAGTCAGTATTCTTTCAATTGTTGATATATTTAGATGATATTGAGCATGATCTTAATGACAAATGAAATATAATTAAAAAACTATATATATTAACTTTTAGGCATAACATTTCTTGATATAATATTCTTTCCATCGTTCTAATATATGATTTGATACGTATACAAAATATATTAAGGTAAAGAGCGTGCATTTAAAATCGATTATCATTATCATTTATGTTTATGTGAAGTTATCGATTACCAATCTATTAGTGGGTTCATCTTTTTTACGTTTTTGTTTTTTTGCTTACAATTATCAAGGATGAATAAGAAACTTTTCGAGGCAAATCAATATTTAATAGTCATCACATTATGGACATAAACAGGTGTATATATATATATATATAAAACATAGTTGAATACACAACATATATTCAATAAGGTAAAAATGTCCTATAAATGAAATCTACCAGAGACGATATGTGTTAAATGAGAAGGAAAAGAAACGAAAAGAAGTAGGTTCTTTTTTTTGTTTAGAACGATTGGAAGAAAATAATCGATTTCTTACTATTGAGTCGTTGGTAAATAGAAAAAAGAAAGCTATCTACTGGTTGTTGAGTTTGATTAAACAGAACAAAAATAAATATGAGATTTAAGTTTACTATCGAAAAGGTCTTTCGCAAGCAAATGTACTATTTGATTCTTCAATCCCCATAAATCAACTTTATCCACAAGAGAAGACATAAATACATCTTTTTCAAGTACCTGTCACATCATTTTGTTATCAACAAAAACGACTCCAACGGAATAATGTATCTTAATATTTCTTTTTTTATTGATTCTTCAATTATATACGCATGCGAAATAACAATAAAATCCTTATTAATAATGAATTATAGTATTTTTCTTTTCTAAAAAACCGTTTATTCTACTATTTCTTTGCATAATAATACAAGCAATGATATTTCTATTTGTTTCAGAAGAGGGGGGGGGGGGGGGGGTGAAATGATATGGTACGATTGTCGATATCATGCGCTAAACGCATGTAGTTTTATAATATTACCTTCAACTAAAAGTTCTCTGTCATTAGTATCATTAATTTATCATATACCCTTTTCTTGCCCCTATATTTTATTTGTGTTATGAGAGAAACATGGGCCACGCTTTATATCATACAGTAGCTGCATGATTTACAGTATTAAAACTACTCGACAAACCCTCTTCTCATACGACTTGCTCTTCTTTTCTATCTTTTTTTATTTCTATGATAAAGAATTTACAGCTGTTTCAGTCATATATGTATCAATGCATTAGAAACTTCTATTCAAATGTGTCAAGCCATTTGCTGATATATGATTACTATCTATGCTAAAGATAATTTTTTTTTCTTATGTGAATACTGTTGTTTTTTTTCTTTCTTGATGTAAAAAGAAGGGCAAAGTCGACTAGTAATAAACAACAATTTTTCTCGTTTTCTTCGCTCTTTTTTCCTCTCTGTCTTGCCCTTATCCTTTCACTCTACCGATTTTAGTTACCAGAAAGAGAAAAAAAACAAAAGCAAATTTTTACTGCGCTTCTCGCTTCGATGACAAATATAATTTTCAAAATAGTAAACAAGCACAACAATAAGATGACGACTCAGTGTTTTTTCTCTTTTTTGCACACCTCTTGTGTGCTTTCTCTCTCTTTCTCTCTTCTGATTCATATATATAAATACGTGTATATATGCAGATGATAGCTTCGCCTTTGTGCATAGACATATCACCTGTCGCACTCGCTCGCTTTGAGTAAGGAGACATCTAGAACGTATATATTACCAAACTACAATATATTTGGCTGACTTCGACCACTATTCTTTCTGGTAGATAAAAAAAAAAAAAAAGGAACGAGGTGCTTCAAGTACAGCATGTTCGTCGTAATAATCTGTAGGAATGGCAAAAACGAGAAAAAAAGTAGGTCTTATTATCTTGTTGTCTAGTTCTCTCTAGTATAGAACTCTGTCTCTCTCCATTTTTCTTCTGTCGTCAAATAAATAATGGTAACAACAGCATCAAACACCTAACCTGCAACATTTAGTTGCTTGCAAAATATAGATCATTCATTAAGCATTTGTTTTCATTATGATATAATATGAACAAATGTGTGAGGAAAAAGGAAGAATATTAGATACGCTCATAAGATGAACTATTGACCGCTATAAAATCATATACATATGCTTCCTTAATATCATCCAACCATTTCTTCTTTTGAATGAAAAAAAAAGAAAAATAGAAGCCCTGATAAAAAAAATCTTTCCATCATTATAACATGCATCAATCACGCGTTGCCCATCCGCTGCTTTGTTTTTTCTTTTTTTTTTTGCATCTTTAACTTTTCTACAAACATACAATGAATACGTACCTATATATAACAAATAATCGTCTTTCGCTTATTCATTATAGACGAGATAAAGTTGTGAGAAAGCAGTTTGATTGTTTTTAAAAGTCGAACTTTTTCATTTGATTTTTTTTGTTTTTAGGAAGATTTGAACGATTCATCAAAGTCTCCTTTACTTATTGATAAACAACAAATTGATTTGCCATCATTACATAATTCTAAGATGGCTAATATACTTGTTCAACAACAAACACTTCGCACACCAAATATAAATATAAATAGGTCAACAACATCACAAAAAGATACATCTGGATTGATGAGACATTCTGTAGATGACAGATTATTTTTTCATGATTCAACACGATTAATAAATTTATTAACACGTTTTGCATCTGAACCACAAATATCGAAATATCATATACAATCACCAAATACAAATGGACAATTTAATAAATCATTGAGAGATTTTACTTTATCATTACCTATATCGAATTCATGTTTTAAATTAAATGAACCCGAAAAAGACGAAATTGATTTTGATGATATTCTTATGTTTAACTGTGATAAAATTCAACCGGTGTCTACCTCTACAACAGAAAATTTTACCAGTGATCAAATAGACAATATTAGTTCTTCTACAACTACTAATTATCTCTTAGAAGAAATAATAACAATAAATGATGAGTTAACAAGTTCACAATTAAATAATGATCTAAAAACTCCACAATTAAATGATGATTTAAATACTCCACAAGTCAATGATGATTTAATAAGTCCACAAATAAATGATGATTTAATAAATCCACCATTACATGAAGATATTCTACTTGAGACAAATTCATCTACAAATGATAATGATACACATTGTGAACGTCATTTTCGTCGACGAAAAAGACGTTCATCATTAACAAAAACTTCAATATCTCTTGATGATACGCAAGCAATAACTAATTTATTTGAAAAAGTTGATATTAATAAGGAATCTACACAAGATAATAATGAAAATATAAAATTAAAAGAAAATGAAGATAAACCAAATACAAAACCTATTGAAATAAAAATTTCTGAATATCAAGAATCTGATCAAACGATTGATGATCTTGAAAAATCCGCTTCTCTCAGTCGATATCGAGGAAGACGTAAGTTAATCTAATCTAAAGAATATTCCCATATATCATTTATTTGTTCCTCTAGGATTAAGACATCGATTTTATCGTCATGCAGCTGCATCATCATCATTAAAAGAGGTTACATCCAATATTTCATCAGAACTTTATTTACCCAATGAAACATGTAATGTTGAAACACCTACAACTCCTACACAACTTTCATCATTATCAGTAATTATGTCACCAAATTTATTGACTCAAAAAGTCACTCAAAATGTATCAATGGGTGGTCTTAAACGTGTAGGTTCAATTGGATCAACAAAAAAAACTGTTCATTTTGCTGATTCTGTTGGTCTTGAATTAGCACATGTGCAATATATACAATCGTCAATAAATGATGATTCAAAAGAATTATCATTTTTATTAAGTACATCATTTTTATCATCGTCACCTCCATCTTTTACAAAAAATAATCTCTATTTACCAAATACATCCAATGTAGAACATAAACCATGGTCATTTGATGTTATGTTAAAACCGAAGAAACCAACAAATGATAAAGTATATTTAAAAAGATTTTTTTGTTTATTTCGTCAACCAGATTCCGAACATCCAGATATATTTTTACATGAAATATGGAAATCTCAAATAAAATTAGAACATGCTGATATACCATTTCAATCTTCGTCAATCGGTGAACAACAACTTATTGGTACATTATGGGTTACAAATATTAGTTTTTCAAAATATGTTTCTATTAAATATACATTTAATCAATGGATAAATACATATGAATCTGAAGCTCAACATTGTCGTTATTCAAATGATTTTCGGAATATAGATCAGTTTCAATTTATAGTTAATATACCAAAAGATGTTGATCGAATTGATTTTGTTTTACGTTATTCTGTTAATGGACAAGAATTTTGGGATAATAATGGAGGAAAAAATTATACATTACAAAATGAATTAGCACATACAGCATCAACAACGATTTCATTGCCGCATGATTGTGATTTTAATGAAATGAGATTTTATTGAAAAAAACAATTACAATGGAAACTTTTTTTTAAACCGAAAGAGAAAAGAAAATAAAAGCAAGACAAACTACATTGTTTATATATATATATATGTATAGTGTATGAAAAAAAACAAATTGAGTGTGTTTGTATATGTATGTTATGTATAGGGATCGAAGGCGTCTTTCATTTTTCTCTTGTGTATATTTTCTTTTTCTCTTTGTCATTTTATTTTTAATCGATGCTTGAAATGTCAGTCGTGTGACTACAACCAGAGAGTGATGCGCATCAATTCGATTTTCATTTCTTCTTCTGTAGTTGTTAGATATTTTTAACTAAAATAAACATAATGAAATAAAGAATATGTATGCATAGAACATCATTACTTTTACTGTCATCTTAATAGATAGCCCTCAATGTACTTAGTAGACAAAATTACTAACAAGGACATTGATCGAATAGACACATGTTTCTTTCATCGTAACATTTTAAACTGTTTTCTTTTAAAAACCTAAAATCATTGTAATGCTTCTTGCATCATAGGTCGAGTATGTTGTTTTACTTTGCTCTCAAAATATAATTTCGAATAAAAGTCAAATTTATTGGCCATGAAGACAATGATGCATGATATAACAGAATTTGTAATGAACCATAGAAAAAAGGAAAAATACATTACGTTAGATTAAATGATATTTATTGATGTCTAAAACATAGGGAAATATTATTGATAAGGTTTAAATATAAAAAAAGAAAAATAAGATTAAATTTCATGTCTGCACTTTTCATCATCTAGAACAATAGGTAAAAGGCAAAGTCTAAAGAATTTTCAAAATTTATGCATTTATAGCATTGTGAATATCTGATAAATATTTTGCAACATTTTTTTTCATAGTGATGACAGGGTAATTTATCAACATATTACATTTGACAGAAAAACTATGGTAAATATATATTATTTATCAAAGTCAAAGATTAGCCCATACTTAAACTCAGGTCCTAGATGATATGCTAGTTAAGGATAAATATTCATGCTTTTGCTTCATAATAGTCGCAAAATCAATATTCCACCCCGAGTAAACAAAATAAATTAATGTTATTTTTCTTATATAATCATTGGTTTCAGTAGCAGTCTGAATTTTGTAGAAGTGCTTCTGTTTGTTAAACGAAATCATATAAATACGAAAACATGGTATTTTATAACTTATTATTGACATGATCCATATTGTATTTTTAGAATAAATTTTAGTATTTAATGCAAATTAAATTTTGAATCGGACTTTGATATATACTGATAAAAGAGTGTATCAAGTTGATTGTCAACAGTTCTGTCATGCAGACTGTAATTAAGATACTTTGTTATATATTTGGATAAGTGTCGTATGATAAATTTTATATGCATAATAAGATAATACAAAAATTGGCTTGTAGAAAGTATATGATCAAAATATGAGATAAGAATAAAAACGAAATAAAAAACTTAAATATAAGAAGACATAAAGAGAAACTTTTTTAAATGTCTTTATATTACTTTTTTTTCAAACTCAACAATAAGAATGTACTCAGAATGATTCATTCAAATCAATAAAAATCCCTATGATTCATTTATTTGTTATGTTATTTAAAGTAATAAAACTAGCGAGAGAATCTCGCCATATGATAAATCTTATCTCACTAGGTAAGACAAGACATGCACAAAAATACTATTTGAGTATTTGTTTTGAGGTGATTTTAGTTTGGAGATAGTAAAAAAAAAACTAATTCTGAAAAGATTATTCATAATACACTCTCGTAAATTTGGTAATACATATCCTCTTGAAATGAATTCTGTATATAATATTATAAATCGATCAACAATAGATTGAATGAACATCTATAGAAGATGAATAACTGTTTTCTATATAAGTAAAATTTTATTACTCGAATAGATTCTAATTGAATTTGTTATTAACTAGTGAAAATTAACGAATTTTTTAGGTTATATAAAATACAGTCGAATCTTTGTTAAACTGTGTTAATAATTGGAGTTTTTATCAATAAATCATTTGTTAATAGTTACTCGGTGATCAAACCATATGGATGTATAATATACTGTTATTCGTTATTATGACAAGCATGTAAATTCAGACCAATATCGTGATAAAAAAAAAAAGAAGTCAGATGCCAGATCTTGCCGATAAGATGAAAATTATATGAAAATCCAACAAAACATCGTCGCCTCTGTAGACTAACACTATGTTTTACTATAAGATTTTTCAACGATCTTATCGTTACATAAGATCATAAATCTGCCATGTCCTTATGCTACACTGCCAGAAGATCAGAAAGATAGACTATAAAACTTCCTATATTTTTGTATATTTAGTTTCATTTTTTTGTTCAATGCAATATTCAAGGAGTAAATTGTTTTGGAAAACCTATCACTTTTGAATATTTATAGAATAACAATGGTAACCATCACATTTTTCTTTTATTAAGGCAATTTGAATAGAATGACACATTTTTTTATGCTTTACAAAATGACGTATTAATCATGTCTGTCTATTAGTTTGTGAAGGGCCAGATTGGTATGCTATCTTATCAATCTACCCTTTATCAGCTGGTTGCTAGACATGATCGATGCGTCTTTTGTCAAGCATGAAAAAATAAATCGCTCTATTCATATGGATTTGACAAAAGAAAAAAAAAATAATGGTTGTTATTGTTATTATTCAAAACATTCAAAAGTGATAGATTTCCCAAGACTATCTACTCATCGAATATTGCATTGAGCAAAAAAACACCTAAATACACAAAAATATGTGGAATTTTGTGGTCTATATGTCTAGTCTATTGGAAGTGTGTGTAATTTTAAATGAATAAATTAGCATGGGGCTTTTTTCTTCATTTAAATATATAAATGAAATAGATACAACTTAAACGGGTTTCTTTTTTTTATTTAATGGTTTTTATTTGTTTAATTTTCGGTTTTTTTGACTGTTTGAATAGTCCGAATACAAAAAATATAATATACACATTACAATAAACTTTATTAACATACATATAATCGAAATGTCAACCATTGGGTCATCACCATTTATAACCTAGAAATAAAAAACTATTCACCATGTGCTAATACATTTAAGTTATGATTATGATAATGAAGTCTATTTTAAACGTGTTTATATTAAAGTTATATTCAGCAGTGAACAAGGTCGAAATGACCGAGCTTTAAATAAATAAAAAAGAATCTCGTTGAGACCAAATTTATTTCATTTACAATAGTGAACGTGTAGACGAAAGAGGTAGCAGATTTATGACCTTATTCGAAGATATTCTTTATATGATGGTAAGACCTTTGAAAAATCTTACAGAAGGACATTTTTAATATTAATTTTCTTCTAATGTCTCAGAACCAACTTCAAACTTAGCTTTTCTTTTGGTTCATACCTATGTACAATCTATTGAGACTAGAGAAAACTACAAGGATTTATGTCCATGGCTTGTTTTTCATGAGTTACGATCAAATTAGTGATTTTAAAAACATACTGTTTTAATTTAGATCGCTGTACAAATCGGCTTGCAAGTTTCAACTTTCATTTTTCCACTAGTGAAATTTTTCATGAAACTATAGTCGTTTAGTCTCAAATTCAGATTGAAATTTTGTTGAGTTTTTTTCAGTTTTTATGGCTTGTTTTTCTACATTTTGTTTGCAAGAAAAGACATTTATTATGTATTAAGGCTATGATTACAGAGGTCACAACCTGCTATATAATTAGTTCTATTTTAAAAAATAACAGTAGGTATCTGCTAACGACACAAACACTTCTAAATTAAGAACTGACGCCATGAGTAAGTTGACTCAACTTAGATAGGTACTAAAAATATCAGGCTTTGATATACTAACTTTAGAAAAAAATAGAAGGGATGTATGTTCTCAATTTCAAGCCTTGTAATTGAATTTTATATATAGCTTGTGTGAATGTGCCAAATCGATCTCTATTATCAATTATTGCATTTGCCAGTATAGAGTATCATAATACACTATTGTCGGCATCGTATGTTCTTCTTCTACCGACAAACAGCTCGACCTCGAATAACAATGCGAAACCCAATGCTCAAGTAAGAAATTAGAAGATGAGAATATGGGAGAGGCATCCGTCCAGTGGATCGAAAATCGAAATACAGAACAACAAGAAGCATGCCGAAACCCAAACAAGAAGGGGATACAACACTCTATAATGTCAAATACAGTAATTCATAGTAGAAATTAATTAAACACATTCATATGAGCTATATATAAAATTCAATTATAAGGCTTGAAATTGAGAAAATGGATTCCTTCTATTTTTTCTAAGAGTATCATTTAAAAATCTAATACTTTGGATATCTGTCTAAGTCGAGTTGACCTACTCATTGATCAAAGATATGAGTGTTCGTAGAATCAGTTCGACTGGTTCGGTCTACTGATGGTATCGATTCTCGATTTGAAGATATTCGCGTCTTTTACATACAACCAACAATAGCTGTTAACAAATAGAACTGGTGATTCATTTAATGCATTCGTGATACTTGTCTTATCTTGTTTTTTTTTTAATATCCCTATACACATATTTCTAATATTTTTCTTTTTTAAATATTTACTTATTTATAATAACTATTGTTTGCCAAAAGTGATTTAATTGATTGTGCTTATTCAAATGGAAATTGATTTAAAAACTGAATGGTCACTAGCGATGGTGTTGACCATAATGAATGTCAGACGAGATAGTGAGAAAAAAAAGTATAATTTCTCACAAATACAGGGACAAATTTTTAACGATGATCCTTTGCCAAAGAAGCCTACACATCATATTAAGAATGTAATGAAGAATTACAGAGAAGTCAACAAAAAGGAAAGATGAAGATGAAGATATTGACAAAACTGAATAACTTTTATTAAAAACAAATGTCGGGCGCAGTACTTCTAGACTTAGTAATTATAGTGTCTGGTAGACATTAAAGATATTACTTTTCTGTATAAGTCTGTTAGTAATATTATACCATTATTTTAGTCTATAGTGTTCTATAACAAACATCCAAGTATACTGATCAAATAATAAAAATTCCTACCAGAAGAAATGACTAAACAAACCATTCGTCAACCTGAATTCGAGATCGAAAAACCTATAGTTCACTAATGAAATATCATATGGTCATAGTACTTAGAGTATACCAAAAGTAGCGCTTTTGACAGATAAAAGCCTAAAAGAAAGAGTTAATCAAGTTTTTGTTCCAGCAAGTATTTGAGCTAGTAGTCATGCTTAATTGTGCATAATTGATTGGTTGAAAGTATTTTTTTAAATAAACTTCGATTAAAAAATTCTTTATCTCGATTGCAGCACTGAACTCAATACAGCGAATACAGGAAGTGATACTAGGTGATCAACTCTAAATGTGTCACACATAAATTGGTTCGGGTTTTTCGAACTAGAAGAACTGCAATCAGATAATCTCCATCAGCTACAGTTTGAAGTAGTAATTTAGCCCCAAAACAACGTTTCGTGTCTTTTCTGAAAACAAATAATCAAATGCTCTTTAAGAAAAAAAGTTGGTAGATATGGAAGGAAGGCAGACTTCTTATCATCAATACTATATCAATAATCCCCTAAATCTACTTATTAATGGAGTGAGACGACAAACATGATCGTTTAGCGCTCAAAATATCGAAAGTCAATACGACAACGTCCAACCAAATATCCATAAAGATGCTTTACAGTCCTGTAGCAGAATTATTTTATACCCACCTTATTCTACAGATAGAGTATTATATATTTTCAAGATGCTCAATCTAATGAATAAATTTCATCAATCAAACGGCTCCTAGTCATTATACAGAGTAGCGTAAACAAGATAATGAATTTTTAATAAAAGATTATCTGAAAATTTCTTCAACAAATATCTTCAAACCAATTGATTGTCTGTGATTAAGAATGGTTATGGGCTCAAATACTTGATTAACTCTTTCTTGTGAAATTTTATCGGTTAAAATCACAACTTTTAGCATGCTCTAAGTATCTTCTATTCTTCAATGTTGATATTGAGAATTCTGCTTTGTATGTCTCAGAATAGGTAACACTAGAAAATTTTCTAGTTTTCCAGTAAACCAATGTCAATTTTTAAAAAAGAGGTTAGGCATTTTTCGAATAACTCTTGATAGAAATAAGATAGTGACCTGCTGTGTTCACCATTGGAAAGAGTAGATGAAGTCGCATCAAATCATATATTATAGGCTCTCCTGAGATGTTTTCTGATGATTCTCTAATCAGATTTATAAAAAAAAAAAAAAGTCTCAGAAAAATAGTTCCGTTTCACATAAGAAACATGCAAAAATGTGAAATTTTTTCACAGCAGTTGCTTGAAAAATTGTTAAGATTAACTGAATTAGATCAGATGATTTATCACTTGGCGAAGTTCTCTCGTAAGACAATACAATAATCGAATATGTTACTCAAAAACAAATACACTATCTAATTCAATTTCGGATTATTAACTAACATGAATAATGCTTTTCTTTGTTCACAAAAATTTCAAAACACTTTTGCAACACCTAAAAAGAAATAGTCTTTTTTTTTTGCGTATTGAAATTAAATTTTGAAATGAAAACAATCAATAAAACTACATCATTTTCGTTGTTCATATGTTTAGAACATGTTTTCAGTGATATAAAACTATGAGCATATTTATCCTAAGATATTAAATCTAAAGAGTTGTTTATTTTGAAAAAAAAGAAAAATTAAGGACAGCAATAAAGACTAAATCAGTTGTTTTCATATGGGAATATCAAATGGGACAATGTTTATAATTAAACATCTTCGCCTTTTTTTCTTTTGATCTTCTTCAAGATCCGATTGTCGTTTTCGATAACCACGATCTTATGATGAACCAGATGACTCATCATCCTCATCTAGTTGCAGTTTAAATTGTGGTTGAACATCTTTCCATAATTTGCCTTGATTATGACGTTCAAATAGATAATCCGTTGTTTTATTTATAACACGTTCATAAACAAATACACCAGCAGCAACTGATAAGACAATAGTTGCCGAACGACGAAAAAATACATTGTAAAGTGTTTTTGTAAATGATGACATTGCAAATTATCTAGAATAAACAATTAAAAAGGGTATAGTTTGTTTCATTGTTTTTTTTCTCAAAGATCTATATTGAATATATCCTCTGATAACATCTAGTACAACTGCAATAAAAGAAAACTCTAATCTTTCAGTCTAGAATAATTATATTCAATTCAATGAAATAAATCACAAAATGTTAACAGTCTATTGATCTTTTTTCGATAGACGTCGTTATTTCGCTGGTTGTGTAACCTATGGCTTCGTATTTTCATAAGCCATCAAATGAAAAGGTTTTAATCTAAACTTGACTTTTCTAGGACGCTAGATAGTCTAAAAATTTCAGACAGAACAAATATATTTTCCTTGAAAATTCAGAAAAATTGAATTTTTCGAGCAATTGAACATTTGAGAAGAAAATAATCAATTCATGTGACCACTATACCTATAAAACCACAATTTGTGCGATGCGAGAGCTTATTAAAGAAGTGCGCATCATTTAAACTAATTAAAACCTTACAATATTATCTAATAAATACTACAAAGGAATCTTTCTAAACCCTACATTGACTCTATAAAATTTCATTACTACTCTAAATCTTGCCCAAAAAGGTTTTTGATAAAAACTCATGTACAAAAAATAAAACATCTTTAACAAGATGACTCATCATTTTGTACTTTTCTTTCTCTAAAGTATGATTACAAATTTAAGACCACAAATAAACCTATTCAACAAAGAAAAACAAACAACAAAAATGAATTTATCAATAGTTTTTGTTGTTCAATAAAAAAAAAACATATAAGAATATACACGAATGAATAAAAAAAAATGAATTGAAATATTTCTGAGCGCTTCCCATGAGTACGAAAATCACACAAGAAAAGTACAAGAAAACAAAACAAAAAAAAAACTAAATCGAAACAATATATTTAATTTAATATGAATTATGCTTTACAATTTAAACTGTTCTTTCGTGTTTTTTTTTAGTTTTGTTAACAATAAGTTGTTAAAATAGTAAACGAAAATATACAACACGATTATTATTACTAATCTAATTCTCATGAATTATATATATATATATAAATATTATCCATTTGTTCTTGGCCAAGCATCGAAACCAAAAAGTAAACCAATAATTAATGCAATACCACATATAATAGATAAAATACAAAGTATAAGAGCACGCTTATTAAGTTTATGTGAATCCATAACGAAGCCATCACGAAATTTATTTTGTGCTTTACGTGCAAATGCAAACGCAAATAATCCTAAATCATAAAAATAATTATTAAATATTAAAAGAAACAAACAAATTAAATATACCAAGTGGAAAAAATAGAATGATACATAATATTGCTAACCATCTCCAATCTGATGGACGACGTGGTGCTTGTGGATCAAATTTTTGACGACGATTAACTAATGTAGCAGAACTTTTTGAACTTGGTACGCCGCCAACTGCTTGAGGATTTGAACCATGTGTTCTTATTGTTGATTGACTTGAATATAATGGATTTGTTGGTCGAACTTGTGGATATTCTTTTCAAAATGAAAGTTTTAGTTTTTTTTTTTTTTTATATCAGATTATTTATGTTATATTTTAATTTACCTGCATATCTTGATATTCGACTTGGTACGGAACTTTGTGATCGTTGATCATTTTCAGATGGATATCGAGTAGGATAATATGTTTGATTATTATTTAAATTAGCATCACCGCCACCACCTCGAAGGTCAATACGAATATCATTGAATGCCGGTTGCTCATAGTCACCCGTTCCATGACGCATCTAAAAGAAATAGATTTATTAAGATTTATTTTTTATTTTTATAATAATGAAAAATATTAAGATTAGATTAAAGTGCAGAGCGCTGTCCTACTAGATTTATATTCTCATCGTGCAGTAACCACCGGTTTCTTTCGCTCTGCATTGATGAAGTTTCGTCGTCGTTGATGTTATTTTTCTATCAATAACAGAACAAAGAGAGAGAGACCTAGAACGTTGTGTAAAATAAAATTCATTCGATCCCACGTGAATAAATATGGAAAAATTGATGTAAGCCTACGCATTTGTCTCTCTTTTTTCCTCTGTCATAAGAAAAAAAAAATTATTTCTCCAAAAAAAAAAAAGGAAAAAAAGCCTTTTCAATGTCGTCCTTCATCGTCAACTCAATTCTTCCTTGTTATGTGCGCATGTATGTAACATACATATAAAAACGCAAGTTGAGTTTTTTTTTTCTTTTTCGTCAATGTTCTTTTCTCGTATTATTTCTGCTCTTCTATTATAAAAATGGAGAGTAGTTGCAGCAGCAGCAGACGAAGGAGAACCAGTGAAAAATTGAGAAAGAGAATAAGAAAAAAAAAATGAGAGAAAAAAGGCCGAAGAGATTGAAATTGTAATAGGTGTGCTAGAGTCGTCATCAATGTTTCATTGAGACACGAGCTTCTTTTGAGAAAGTGAAGGTCAAATCAACCAGCAAATAAATAATAAAATGAAAGAACATATGTTTATGTTATATAATTAACATAGTTATACTATTTCATATTTCAAATATTTTTCTTCATTTGGATACTCAAGTATTATAAATTAACATAAGAAAAAAACAAACAAATGATTATTAATTAAATATCTATATGTATAACTACTCCTTCTGAAATATTTTTTTCTATATTCAAAAGCAGATATTGTTTAAATCGAAATCTTGTTAAGTACTTCTTAAGTGCAACAGAATAGAAAAGTCTAGAAAATATATAATGAGTCATTAGGGTTTGCAAATAAATACATTATGAAGTTTGATAACGGTGTAAATGAATCATTTTTGTGATTATAAAATATGATTTATTATCTTACATATATATATATCCTTTTTTTTTTAATTTTATCAAATAATTTATTACAAGAGTTAGATGAGAATTTTGCATGCATGAAATATTTTTACTTATTATGCATTCGTTCTATTCATAATTAATTTTACATAATTATAACACGATACAGTTAACACAGAAGTCCTTGACTTTAAGGTAAATAGAAAACTAAATCCTTTTTTATTAGTATAACGTGATTTTTGAATTGAAATTTCAATGATGATCAAATCTATTTAGACAACATTATTTTTGTATTAAAATAGGCCCATAGATGGCGGAATAGATAGACTCAACATTTCTAATACGATCCCTATCTGAAAATTAAAAATAAGAGAAGACAAGTTTTTGAATGCTACTTAGATGAAATAGTTACTTTCTCTTCTATCAAACTCACATTTTTCAATGTGTAATAGTGATGAAGATAAGAAGAAAAAAACTTGTAATTTGCATAAAAAAGACATGCAAAGAAGATATTCTGATCTACTTTACCGGACAAAAAGTTTAATGGACATGTAACTTTAGTCGACAGAGGCGATGGAAAATTTTTGCAGAGTCTATTTAATTTGACCTGGATTTTTCGTACAGCTCTTTTTCACTTGTAATGAACCATCCTCATTTCAATTCATTTGACGATGTATGATCCAATGTCTTTATTTCAATGTTTTCTAAATCTAGTTGATTGAAAATATATGATGATGAGTTATTCCAGGAAGAGAAAAATGTTGGTATTTGTATGAAACAAATTAATGCGTTGCTCAAATATATTAATTTGATGAAAGAAGAAAAGTGTTGGAGCCTACGAAACATGAATCTAGGGTAAGGTTTCAATTTCTGAAGTCTTGTTGCTCTGTCGCCTATGTAATACGAAATTCATTCTATGCTTTCACTATCATTTCCATTCTTACATTGATATCTATTATAACACATGATGTATTCGAAAGATGAACGTATTCAAGTCCCCTCCTCCCCGCTCAAAAATCGATCTTGGATCAAGTATATTCATTTCTGAGTTGTACGATCAAAAAAAAGAATTCTCGCTTTCCCTGAAAACAACATATTTTTTAAGTACTTATTCAGAAAAACAAAATAAACACGTACGTGCGGATATTTTGTGTACAAATGAGTTACTTATAAGTTACGGGGAAAATGTGAGTAAGTTGTGTTCTTTTTTTCTTGTGTACTGTAATCTTTGTAATTTTGAGAATTTTTCGATCACTAAAGATACTAAGCCATTCGTTCATCACTATCGTGTGTAAGAGAAGGTTAGTAAATGTACACTTTTGGTCCAACGATTGTACGAGAGGACGACAAAATATGTAAGACTTCTCGTTTCTTTTTTGTCTAATACACGGTACAGACTTGTCATGGATGAATATTGAGATATTTAGTCAAGTTGATGGCTGTACGAGTCTTCAATTCTGTTGAATTGGTTGATCATACTTTCGGAATTCTGTTTTTTTTTCAAAACAATATTTTATAATTGAAAAGAATAGGATGTGTTTTCATTTTATATAAAACAAACGTTGATAAATAATAGTTATTGAAGCTTAAAACATTACACGATTAGCTAGTTGATTTATGAATGAGTTATTGGAATTACTAAAAATCAATATGGAATCTAGTTCCTGTGTAAAGAACTGAAAAATTTAGCTCAACTAAAACTACATAGGGAGGTCATAACATAAAAATTTGATTATGAAAACATGAGATGCATATCAAGTTTTACCATCAAAATGCTACCTTCAATCATAATAATAAAAATAAAACTCACAAGTATCATAAACCAACTTCAGCATTAAGTAGTGAGGTTCTAAAATCTCCTTGCCTTTACTTTTCGCACAAACTAGCTTGATCACTCGATGATAATTCTATTGCGATCTTTCTAATGAGACTGAAATTTTCATTACAAAAAAAAAAACAATTAGTTCTTTGGGCAGAGCGTTAAAAGGTAGCATTAGCACATTCATCCATAGAATAAGATATATCTTGGTTTTGACTAAAAATGAATTACATAGTATTTTCTTCTTATCATGATTACAGACTCTGGTAGACGAATACGATCCGTTTACAATGAAATACGAAACGTTAACAAGGTCGTATGTCTCTGTAAATATAGGGTCAGTAATACGGTGGCATTACTGTATAAGAACGGCTGTTTACGATGATTCGTAATGATTGATCTGCGAAGTTTATTACAAGCAGTTATTGCTTATATGAAAATGAAAACGTATGACGAATATTAATTTTGACTGATATTGTTCAACATTATGCTCGTTCGTTAGAAAATACCTGTTTTAATTATCTGTCAAAAAAATGAAAATCAACACGTTTGTCAAGTATCAGCTATTTGATTTAGACTAAGAACTTAAGTGATAATGTTTTAGTATTTCCTTAAATTTAACTTTTCTTAACAGGATGAATTTCGATAAATGTTTTGCAAATTTTTTAACTGAATTCATATCGTTTTATTATTTGAACAATCGTAAAACTTGAAGATCTAATACTTTATGCTATGCATTGAGTGACAAACATATTTATGGTGCACGGTCTCCGTTTTGTAGAGCATTTCACGCGATTTTTCAGGTCTTCAAGTGACTAATGGATTTTGATAGATAAGGAAAGAAAAGTCTAACGATTTGCATTATAAAAATTTAACTAAAAGATTTTAAATCAAATAAAAAACAGTTTATGTCAGTTTCCAAATGTAAATAGGGATCTTTCGAATCATTCTACTCGCATAAAATCTAATCAATAGTACGAAAACCATCAACTTGACTGAATATTTCAATCTTTTCTTACTATTTCGAATATAAAGGCTTCTCTCTTCAATATACAGTAAAAAATTAGAATTATTTATTCATTTGGTTACGCTCTTTATAAAACGGAATAACTTCTTGATATAATTAAGTACTCTTCAATGAAATTTTACTAAAATCTCGATTTATTTTCGTTCACTTGTAGTAACCATGTCGTTCAGATAGAACCAGTTGGGTAATATCCGACGGATAATGCTGCTTCGAAAGTAAGAATCATTTATTACATGATTTTTATAAGATGATCATCAAGACTGTCTAAGATATGCCATTCATCGCACACAAATAACCGAAAAAACGTATCTCACACCTTCAGAATGGATGAACAATTTCAATATCGATTGATTTTTAAGAATATAGAATATATGAAAAATAGAATATTTGTGTATAAAATGTAAAACTGATTTTAACAAATGGCTCATAAGAATTTCTATATAAAATGTTCCTTCATGTTTTGACTGATTAATAGACTCACGTGAGGTTTTAATTCATTGAGTTAGAATTCGAATTTCATTCTCAGAATTTTTATGAGACTCATACGTAGAACCTGTCGGATTGATCTCGGATTCGATAGGTTCTACTTGTAGACAAGAAATTCTGAGCGAATTTTTGGAAGGACTGAAAAATACGCGTGTACGTCGTTTTCAGTTTACTCTCTTGCTTTTTTTTCCACAACACTTTCTTATTTCCAACATAAAAACGTTCAGTTTATTTTACACTGACTTTATATTGCTAAAGGCCACCCCCCCCCCCCCTCAAAAAAAGTCACTTTTCGTCAGAATCGTCGAAATTGGGGGAAATAGCCCGTAATCTGCTCTTTCATACGCGACACAAATTTTTATTCAAAAATTTTGGAAGATTTTCGTCACTCCCTATTCGAAAAACAGGCCGTTTTAACAAAAAGCCGAAAATCATTTTTCGTTTTTCTCAGAATGTCGGTTCAACGATGTACCTCCAGCAGAACTCCATTACAGTAAGGGGTAAAGTCAAATATTTTTTTTTTGTTTGACAGCTTATGTGCAGGGCTAGCGACTCTCGTGGCCCTTTTTTTAAAATAAGCTTTTTTATTATCATAGAAGATAACCTCTATATCAGAGCCGCGCAATTTTTAGAGAGATTTTTTGAGTCATTGAACTTTCGCTCCGGTTTTTTCCCCTAAAAAGTAAGACTTTAAAAAAAAGAGCCAAGAAAGTCGCTGCCTTCTGACATGCTCTTTCAAACAAAAAAAAATTAAATGTCTAGAATGAAGACCCACAGAGAAAACTTGGAGATACTAAAGAGCTATTTTTGGTCCTTGTTCGGTGCATATCTCGGTTAAACATCGTGCTATAGGGCTGAAAATTAGATCATAGCCATGTCTCCCCAGCCCCAACATATGCTAAAATTTTCATGTCATTTGAATGTTCCTGTGCTGAGATCCGTTTTTGAGGGGGAGGGGGGTGGCCTTAATTGCATTATATTTTCATTTTTTTTTCACCAGCATCTAGGCAATGTGTGTCCCGTGAAACATGAATGCTCCTAATTCAATATCTTCAATTATCGATTTTTAGCTCAACGTAAAAAGACAAAATAGTCGTCTAAAAGAGTGAATCAATACTCTTGAAATCAAAAAATTTTGATAGCTCTAACTAAATCTCTTATTATTCAAAAACACATCACAGAGCACTGTTGATCAATCTTTAAGTCTAACAAAAATGTTGGACATAAGTTCTTAAAAAAGCACAAAATTCTAATTTTAACCCGACAAGTTTTGGTGCAGATGTCACAACAAGATTTACAGTGATTTATAATATGAATCTAATTTTCCCTGTTTCATAAAACATAATGCTTTCGAAACTAAAACAAAATTCTATGAATTTGCGTATTCAATGACATCTGAATATTTTTACTCTTCTCTGGTAGAATATCAAATTTCTGTTGTTTGTTTCACTAGAAAAACAAGACTATGGATTTCCATTACTTACAGTATAGTGTATCGTAATCTGTGATTGTTATGATTTGATCTAACATCCATAATAATGTCGAATATAACATTATTAAATATATAAAATCTAAAGAAAATCTATTGAAAAAATCGATTATTGTTTACAATTATTATTTGCAGCATTCCTACATTTTCGGTGATTACTTCTTTCTGTTTCGTGGATATACAATCAAAACAACTGTAGAAACGACCAATGAAATAACAATTGTTAAAGATGTCACTTGCAAAATAAAATTCTATTCGAAAAAAAATATTTTACTTTACTCTCTTTTTCATAATTCTAATTAAATAAAATAAAAAATTTCTCTTTTAACCCAAAAAAAAAACAAAGATCAATTGATGACTCATCTTAGAAACCTGGAGTTCGAAAATATTTGTTATCATTTTCAAATTTTTGAAGCACATGTTATCATCTCAACTGTCTATTTTAAATTTCAGATGGCCGCCCCTAAACCATGGGAAACTTCAGTACCAATGTCAAGTCAACCAATGCCGACTTCATTTGACACAATGAATAATGGCTTGATGCCAACAATTGAAAATCCGTATGTATTCTATTAAACAAATTTTGTTTTTTTTCTTCGAAATTTTATCTATCAATTATAGACGAACCCAGGGTGTTGCACCTCCTCCTCCTCCCCGAACAGTTCAACAGCAATATGGTCTTTATCCTCCATCGAATTATTTAAATCCATATTCATTGAATCCATATCAAGCAGGAAATTATTATAATAATTATCGCTTCACACCTTATGGTGCGCAATCAAATATTCCCGTTAGTAATTTTGCTCAATTAGCTATTGATGAATCTCGTTCAGCATTTTCATCAATTGAATCCATAATACATACATTTCGCTCAATATCACTAATGCTCGAATCCACATTTACAAGTGTTTATTCATCATTTCGTGCTGTAACTGATGTATTAGATCATTTTACACGTATACGACATGAAATAACAGCAATTTATCCACTTGTTTTAATATGGAAATTTTTAAAATATCTTTATCATCGTTTATTACGTTTACTTCATTTACGACAAACAACACAGGGAAATACAGAAGAAACATGGTCAGCTATTTATAACAGTTTACAAAGAAGTACAACTAATGCAAATGAACCACCAGTAGGAGCATCATCATCAAGCTTGCTTGTTGCACTATTTTTTATTGTTTCATTGGGTACACCAATATTAATGTTAAAATTTATTAATTCTATTATTAAGAAAAAACAATGTTTGTAATAAATGATTGCTTTGAAAATAAAAAAATTTGTTTTTATTTTTGTTTATTTAGCTGTTAATAATAGTTGGTTAGAACAACAAAATAATCAAGCACAAGTTGTGGCATTATATGATTATGTAGCAAGAAATTCTGATGAATTGTCTTTTACACGAGGAACAACTATTTATTTAGCACCCATTGGTAAGGATTTTATTTAAAAGAACCTATCAAAACAAAATATAATATGGTGAAAGATATTAGTAATGATTTCAATTGCTATAATTAGTACTAATAGTTTTCCAGCGAAGTCAATAGGATTTAACTCAATGAAGGAAAAAGCAAAAATTCTGCACTTCTAGAGGATATCAAAGCTAGATCAAGTCTACTATCCACGTGTGTCACGAGTATATTAGTTTAAGTGCGTTATGACATGCATATAAGATGTACCATAAGACAAATGTGTTAAAGAGTATAAAGCTATATATGTTCTTTCTGTACATATTTATGTTGGCAATAATAGCTATATCTTTTTCTTTCATTCTGTTAGGTATTTTCCGTCATATTTTCTCTTATTTCATTGTAATAACTCATATATTTTTCCAATTGTATTATGTTATTTATTGACATATTCTCTGTTTTCCCTAACATTCGATATTTATATATACTTGTTGCTCTATGTGAGGTGATTCTGATTTCAAACTATCTAATCTAATAAGAACTAGGCTGCTAAAACATCATAAATAAACCATATGCACAACAACACATAACAGAGTGCATTTTGTATAAATATGTCAGACTATTAAGTCCAAATGCGTCATTGTATTATTGCTTTTTCTCTCTTAATAAGAACAACATAAAAATTTGGATTTTCACCATTCCAAAGAGAAGACCCTGAGTCATTAATGCATGCTAATATCTGATTGATTAATGCCTGATCAATCAGATGAGTTTTTGGCAGAGATTGCGAAAAAGATACCCCGAAGTTATTTTCATGGGCTCCTAATTTGCACTATGATCAGCCAGTACAAAAAAATTCTTCTTTTTCGATCTACGTAAGCTTCAATTTTCTCTCATGTTACGTCCAAGAGTTACAAGGATTCTCCCGCCTTCAGCAAATTGATCTTGGTAGACTCCAAAAGAGCTCAAGACAGGATAATTCATTATGCTGAGTCAAACAATGATGTTTGTGTTCAGTTTCAAAGTAACTTGAGGTCACTTTTTTCTAGGTTTTAAAAATACTGAAACAATGGTCTAAAATCATTTTGAAATTGGAAACAAACATCACCATTCGATTCAGTATGATGAATTACCTCTGTCTTGAGTTCTTTTTGAGTCTTCCAATGTCACTTTGATGAAATCGGTGGTCTCGGGAAAAGCCTTTGTAACACTGGAACAGAATATGCTAAAACATTGAGGCTTGTGCAATTCAAAAATGAAGAATTTTTTCTATCAATTGATTAAATTCTAAATCAAAACCTAATGGAAAATGGCTTCAGAATATTCTTTTCAAAGTCTTCGCAATAGACTTATCTGATTGGTTAGTTGTTGATCAAACAGATTTCGGCATACATTGATGGGCCAAGGTCTTCTCTCTTGAATGGTGAAAAATTCTTTTCGCAAGGACATTAGATGCGCGAGAAGAAAACCTTATCATTCGAAGTATCAAGAATTTTTTTTTCAATTTAACCTTTCTATATTCATATTTTATCCTTAGAAACATATTTATATATAAGCATATAATTTTACAATGTTCAATCGTCTTCTTTATAAAAAAAGAAATATTCTATCAATCTAAAGAACTAAATTATCCTTTGCACTTATGCATATGTTTTGATTATATACATTGCTACTATTTTTGAATATAAGTTATCAACATATTTGACTTGAATATCATATTATTTTAATTTCTAATGTTAGTCTTGTTGCTTTTTTGTCAGTGTTGTTGATAATTTCAATTGACAAAAAACATATTCATAATATGATTCTAAAGTAGAGAGTTGCATGGTAAGCTTTTTAGTTGGAACTATGTGGATCCAAATGAGTTTTTGAATATCCCGGAAATAGTTTGTGCTCTAAGCTTATAATTGTGGGGATACTGCATTTTTTCTAGGAATGCCGTGACAAAAGAAAACTTATTTTCAAATTTCGACTGGAAACTTTGTACAGAGTTAGGTTTTAAAGAGAGCAATTGATTGTGAAAGTATAAAGTCTTTTGATTTGCTTCCATTTTGAAATAATAATATTACAATCCGTCGATGTGTCTGATCGATATAAGAGATATGCTATTACTATAGTTGTATCATAGAATAGGAACAATGACAAGAAACTATTCATTTAAATATAAACTAAAAAATGCACTATCTAGACAGTAATAAGTTAAATGCCAAAACTCTCTGTACGATATTTATAACTCTTTTGAACTTATATGATGCATATAGTCTCGACTTAATAGTAATTAATCAGTTGATAGACTTCCCTCGTGAGAAAATTTTCTAACCATTACCCTATGCTATTGTGTACATCTCAATTTTAGGATAATAGACTGCAAGCAGGAGAATTATTAAACATAGGAATTTTATATTATATTTTCTAGGTTTGCAATCGACAAGTTCTCACTGGTTTGTTGGTACGATTGATCGTATTCATACAGGTTTAATACCAGCTAATTATGTTCAACCAGTTCGACAACCAACAAATTCAAGTATAACTCTTCGTCCGCAGACACCTTTTAATGCCACAGTAAATGAAAATAATTTTTGTTTTTCATTCGCTTGCTCATTTTTTGTTTTTACTTTTTTAGTCAGCTGCTCCTGCCTCTTCTCCACCAACATCTTCGTCTACTGTTACCAATATTCCACAGTCAACCTTTAATGCAGAAGAAAAACCGACATTATCATGATGTAAAAGCCTTTTTGTGTTTTGAATGTTTAATTGTGTTTGTATTGTTAACTTCGCCCTGTGATTTGATTGATACCTTAAAATATTTGGTTTTCGGCTTTTTTAATCTTCAAATGTCGTGTCTTCTAGATGAGCGTTCATATAAATAAAACTGTTCTTATTACTGGAGCTTCTGGTGTACTAGGTCGAAAAGTAAGAAATTGTTTTATCGATGCGGGATGGAACGTAACAGGTGAATGAATAATGTCTTTACGAAATAAAATCCGAAACAAGAAAAAAAACAAAAGAAAAATTTTGTAATCTTATGCAGGATTTGGATTTAATCGAGCAAATAAAAATAATTTAGTTCAATGTGATCTGACTAATTTCGATGAAACAAATGCTATTATTCGAAATCTGAAGGTAGAATTTTTTTTTGGGGTTTTTTTTTAAAAACAAAAACGATTGATCGATATAGCCAGATGCAATTGTTCATTGTGCTGCTGAACGTAAACCTGATGAATTCGAAAAAAATCCAACAAAATCAATGTTTCTTAATGTTGAAGTAACTCGTAATCTAGCTGAATTAGCTGGTAAAAATGTTTGTTTTTTTAAATTTAAATAATTTAAAAAAATATGAAGCTTTTTAGCTAAAGAAAATATATTCTTTATTCTTATTTCAACTGATTATGTTTTTGATGGAAAAAATCCACCCTATAAAGAAGATGATATTCCTAATCCACTTCAAGCTTATGGTAAAAGTAAATATGAAGCAGAACAAGTAACACAAAAAATATCGAAAGGTAATAATTAAAAACATTTTAAAAAAATATCTCAATAAATATTCAATTTATTATTATCATTATTAAGATCATCTCATACTTCGCGTACCGTTACTATATGGTGAAGTTGAAACATTAGATGAAAATGCAGTTACTATTCTATTCAAAAACATTAGGAATACAACAACTCGAGTCAAAATGGATGAGTATGATAGAAAGTTGTAAATTAATTAAACCAATTTTAATGTCTATAATTAAGTGTTCAGATTCGTTATCCAACTTATATTGGTGATGTAGCTGAAGTTTGTTTACAATTATGTGAACAAAGAATTATACATGTATGAGTATTTTGTTTTGTTTTTTATTCATTCATAGTCAAGACAATGTCTTCCATCTTTCAGAATCGAAATGAAGTTCATGGTATAGTTCATTTTTCTGGTACAGCAAAATATACAAAATTTCAAATGGCATTACTTATTGCTTCGCTTTTTCAATTACCTATTGATCATATTGAACGTGATCAAGGCATAGGCACAAATGTAAATGTTCAACGACCTGATAATGCAGCATTAGATAGTAGTAAATTATCGAATGAACTTGGCATTTATATTAATCAAGTAAAATTTGAAACAACAATTAAACATTGTCTTGAACCATTTATTTAATTTCAAAAACACACAAACAAACAGTTAATAAATACTAACAATAGAAAATTTTAAATAAAATCTTGACCAGGTTCAAGTTCTTTAGCTGGTAGACCTGCAAGTAAATTTCGAGCATCTTCTTCACTAAAAGATAAGATCGATTGAACTGAATCAAGTTTATTTAAATAGGCTGGTTTATTTTCTGATTGATTTTCGGAATTATTATAATTCATTGCTGATCGATAACGTGATGCAAACATATCTTTTGATTTAAAATGTTTCACAATGCAACTACCTGTAAATAAGAAAAAAAAACAAATTAAATGATATCAAAATTTTTCGTTCGTGTTTTTCTTTTTCAAACTAACCAACAGCAATTCCACTCTTTGTTGGTAATTGTCCAACACCTCCATTTCGACCAACGGATAGCAAAATAGCTCGATTTACATGAGTGTGATATTCTTTTGGATAAGATTTTTTCTTTTCAATCAATGGAATTATTTTAGCAACATATTCTGCTTGTGCGTCAGCTAAAAATGCAAATTTGTCTTCTTTATCACTTATATCACCAATAGCAAAAATATTTTCATAATCATCCACTTGTAAATAATTATTAACAATAATTCGACCTGTTTGAGGATTTACTTTTGATTTTAAAGAACTATTTAATAAACTTCTATTATTAACATGTGCACCGGTACATAAAAATGTTAAATCAGCTGTAATACTTGTTTTAGTATTTTCTGTTAGATATGTTTCTTTTCCTTCTATATAATTTATATGTTGATTATTTGATAATTGAATTCGATCATTTAATATTATTTTAACATTAAGTTTTTCAAGTTGCTCTTGTAAATTGGTATAAACTTTTCCGTTAAATATTTTAGGTTGTAATAATGTTGGTTGACTATGTACAATAGTAATCTCTTTTTCAGGAAAATCAGTCGCTATTTCACCAGCTAATTCAACTCCAACTGGACCACCACCAATAACTAATATTTGTTGAGATTGTTTAACTTTTTCTTGAATATTATTATAAAGATTTACAGCTTGTGTAATTTCAACTTCAGCTATTTTACCAGGAAAAGCATATGAGGAACCAGTAGCTATAACTAAATAATCGAAACTAATTGGTTCATTCCGTCCATAAACTTGAACACTATCACTTGAAATTGATATTACTTCAGCTTGTACAACACAACCTATTAATCGAAATTTTTACAATTATTTTAATAGAATATAACGATCGATTTTCACTATAAGCATATGTTTGTTTATATGAAAACATAGGGATTATTCACTCTAATTCTCTATCCTTAAGGTCGCCACCTCAGAAATCAACGTTTTTATTTGTCATCCGATTTCAGAGAATGTTTGTCTTGACTAAAATAGATTATGGATAACATCTCTTCAAGATACTCGCGAATCATAGAAAAATTCATTGATCAAAAAGACTCTTTACAAGGAAAGATCTGCAAAATGAGAATACAAGCTAACATGTCAGAATAATTTTTAAATTGTAGAGTACACTTATGGCTAAGTCTTAATAAAGTCCAATTTTTGAACTTTTCTTTACTTTGTTTAAAAAGAACTTTTTCGAAAAATTGTCAAATTCGTAATGAAAAAAAAATCGCTCATTAAAATCAATGATCTCGAAATCTGTACGAAATTAATTTTTGCATTATAAAGCTATAAAAGTTTTCAGACAATGCAAGTTTATATGATACAGAAAAAAAATCTAACATTCTTCTTTTCAAAAAACAAAAATTAGGTTAGCTTCAAGTCCATAGCAAGGATTATTAGAATATTATAAATCGACTTTTCAGAGAAGAGAGGGAGGGAAATTTTAAGATCGGTCGAAAGAAACTGAAAACTTTAAAAAAGCATATGACAGTTTAACTACTTTCTTCTTCTTAGAAAATTCTTTCATAAGGTCATATCTATTTTGTTCAAAAAAATTTATATAAAATTATAAAATATACAAACCATTAGTAAGCAATCGATCATAGGGAATAATAATTTTTTGAGCAAAATCTCGTTCTACTGTAGCACGTAATGCTGCAACATTGTGAAGAAAATAAGATTTTCGATCAATCAGCACGACAAAAAATCGACCACTTTTATCTAATAATTTAGCACATTGAGTACCTGCATAACCACCGCCAACGATAAGTACAACTGGCTTTTTTTCGTTGTTCTCTTGAGATCCACTGACACCCATTTTCCCGTTTTTTTTCTTTCTTCACAAGTCTCTTCTATGCTTATATATATATTATTTTTTTGCTGCATCATGCTGATCATGCTTGCGTATCGCGACGTTCTATAAGTATGTAAAGATAATTTCGTGACGTCAATTCCAGACTGTAGTGTTCTTTTCTTCGATGAAAAAAGCAATCCAACCAACTGGAAACATGCAATATGTCACTAGTGATTATTTGAAAAAGATTAAAACAAGTTTACTTTTTTTTTGTTTATTCGGTATATTAGTATTAAATAATTATTCGAAAATGAAGCTATTTTTCAGCTCTGATGGAACATTCATCTTTTTTTATATAGAACTGATTTTATGAATCCTAGAAAAAATTTGCAGCCAATGCTAACATCCAATCAGAGACTGTCAACACATCGTAACAATCAACGCAAAGTTTGGCTTGTAGGACAAGAATTACATTCATTTTTGTGATCTAATAACGGGCTCTGTAATCAGTGATTGTCTTATTTTTTACACAAATATTTCAAATTATCGTTATTAGGAGTTGCAGACCTTCATAACTCACAGTTGAAACTGATCGAGAATTTATGAACTGATCCGACTAGTTCAAAAACTTTTTTGAGTCTATGGAAACTGACTAGTTCAGTTTTGATTGCTTCTTTTTTAAACGAAGGGTGTGGATGATAACAAAAGTAATATTCACACTCACACCCTATTCTTTCGATTCATTCTAGTATGATATATATTTAATCAAGATTATCTCTAGAACATGATTAAATTTCTTTCAGATCACAGTCGATTTGAACTCTTTACATCGATAATGTGATTGTAGTTTGTACAGATCGTCAGCAACTTAAATCCAATGAAGTATTATTAGTCACGAAAGTGATGTCTTTATTTTCTTTTGACGAATGGTGTCGTCTAAGTCGTTTATTTCATTCACAGATCAATCTTCCCTTGATTCACACTCACACTTGCACCCTCCGACAGAACTCGCTTACTAGTTTATTTATGCACAAATCGTTATTTGCCTGGAATACGGTTATTCAATAAAACTTGAAACTGTCACAAAGATACGAAACATAACTATATCAAAATGACATAGAGAAAACCTAAATAGATCCATAAGGAGATTGAACGTTGCTGTTCTTGCCGACAGAGTCGGCAAAGTCTTCCCGATTCACATAAATTATTTAATCAGCATGGTACCGTAGTAGAACCCTCGTGTTAAAGTACTCCAAAATATTGACCACTATCAGATGATTTAAAAGTGACAGTTCGAATGATGACCGCTGTGTTGTATTGATACAAATGCTTGGAAAAACAAACAAGAGCTAAAGCTATTGTTGACGTTTATTTTCTTGTAGTAGACGATGTGGGTATGAGTATGGGTAGGTGTAAATCTGGGTCCGGAATGCGAATGGTGTAAGTACAGTTATAGGTATCAGTTTTCTCTTCAAATCTACACCCACTCAGTCACACTCACACCCACACCCTATTCAAATAAGAATTCATAATAATCAAATAATATTTCTGTAAGAGGAAAATAATTTTTGAAACGTTCAGTCATTTTAAATTGACCAGTAACATATAAACGATTTACTTTCATACAATTAATTTGTGTTGCATGTCTTTTAAAATTCCATGTCACTTTTTTTAAAAGTTTATAATCAAATTCGTATAAGGTTAGTAAGATGAAGATATTCAATGATCGATAGGTGTTCGATGTCCTCCTTTGATTTTCTATAATGTTTATTATTTTATGATTTCTTATTATATAAAATTAATTTTTCCAACAATGGAAATAACTGACCAATTCGAAGAGAATGTTCATCATGTAATGATACTTCACGAACACTCTTATAAAATCCACCGGGAAAATTATTTGTTATATAATAATAATGTCTCAATGAAAATGGATATGAATGAATGGACATGACATTGACATTCTTACGCCTCTGAAAAATAATCGAGACAAGAAATAAATTCATCTTTTTTGAAATCTCTAAATGTATATTGAATATCTTCATTTGATGGTAAATTAATTTGATTCTTAAGAGAAATAGATGAATAAATGTGAAATTAAAGTTTGTTTAATTGTGGCATATAATTGAGAATGTTCTTCAAATGATTTTCATTGATAAATGTTTTTCCACTGAAGATTAGAAAATACAAAATAAGTATTTCTAAATTCGACATTCGATGTAAAGGTGGTATGATTATTGCATCATAAAAATCTATTCTCTCAGCACAAGACAATGAAAAACCTCTTAAATTTGGTAGATTTTCCCAGCAAAATAAAATAAATATTGATAAATTTCAATTTCTTCCAAATTAAGAATTTATAAAGACATACTTTATTATTATTTATTTTTAAGGGCGGAGAGGAAAATGGTAATTCTATACGAACATATAATGTATGGAGTTGATTGAAACAACCATCAAGTAAGTAAAGACAATCGTTAATGTCAATATCTTGATACGCAATGTTAGCAAAGTCAACGAAAAAATAGTTGAAGATGACAAAGAGAATGATATATGTTGATTACAAGTCTAAGATGGATCAAAATTTAAATATTTTAAATTCGTGAAATTCTTAAAGATATTTGTAAATATAATTGTATTCATATCTGTTGCCAAACTATTGTTGTCAATAGTTTCAATCACAGCTTTTTTGAAAATCTTAATTCGTATACAAAAACAAATAGTCTCACTGTCGACGTAGGTAATGTTAGCACCAGATTCGCGTATTTCCTGTCCTTATTCGCCCCTCCGCCTGTGCTGTTTCCCTAGTTGCTTGTGCTGGATGCAGAATTTAATTCTCTATCAAATGGTGACAACTTCGGTCACGGTCGTCGACCAAAAAATCGGGTCTACCACCAAACAACCGATTTTCCCTCCGTGTGACGAATTCGCAAAAGATCTAATTCGTGTCCCGATTCGCGCATACACCTGTGCTGTTTCCTTCTTTGCTTGTGCTAGATGCAAAATTTTACGCTCTATCCAATGGCATAAGTTTCCGATAGCCTCGCCGTCCGAAAAGTTGGGGTTTCTGGCCCAATACCATCCCAAAAACCATTTTTTTACATTATCTCCTGTCCCGATTCGAAAATCGACCTGTGCTGTTTCTCTAGTTGCTTGTGCTGGATGCAGAATTTAATTCTCTATCGAATGGTGGAATTTTTGAGTGAAACCAACGAGAGGTGTCCAAGTGAGTGGGCTGATACCAACCCCGAGCCGCCCTTCCAGCAAACCTTGCTGGTTATCTCGAGCCGCGACGTCGTGCTCTCTCTCGGGTGCCTTGTGCTGAATGTAGAATTCAATTCTCTATCGAATGGTGGCATTTTCAAGTAAAACAAAAGTAAGGAACGCGAGTTAATGGGTCGATACCTACCCCAATCCACCCTCTTCTACACTCAGTACAAGGCACCCGAGAGAGAGCACAACGTCGCGGATCGAGAGAACCAGCAAGATTTGCTGGAAGGGTCAATTGGGGTAGGTATCAGCCCACTCACTCGGACATCTCTCGTTGGTTTCACTCGAAAATTCCACCATTCGATAGAGAATTAAATTCTGCATCCAGCACAAGCAGCTAGGGAAACAGCACAGGCGGAGGGGCGAATAAGGACAGGAAATACGCCAATCTGGTGCTAACATTACTTACGTGAGGAGAACGACGAAAACCATCATTCGTTATCTAAGTAAGTATTTTTATTTAAAAAAAAAGAATTATGTAATACATCACTTTAAGAATTGTCTTTTAATATGAAATTGAATTAATCTCTATTTTTAATAGATATTATTCTATAACTATTATTGACGATAACTAATTTTAAAATGTTTTATAACAAAATAAATCTTTATTTAATCGAGATTTTTTAATTATCGAATATTTAAAATAATCTATGAAATTTTACAAATCATTAAATTATAAATCCACACTAAATAATGTTTCTCAGTAGTAAAATCTAGATTTTAATCAGATTTTAAAAAAGAATCGAAATAAATTTCATTTTTAATCTGATTATTTCAGAAGAAAAATCTTCTTTAGAACAATCACAGTTTTTACAATAAAACTTAATCTTATTTTAAATTTTTGATTATTATCAACAGCGGCGGAGCTAGAATTTTTATGATAAGGGGCAATTTTGGTCAAAAACGAGATTTTCGCTTCCATTTAATGTATCATCTACTCGTTTTCGGATCTGTTCTGCTGAGAAAAATAAAAAAAAACCTTTGCAAATCGGGATGATCGTCTCTCTAAATCCGTCACTGATTTTGAAGTATAAAAGTATAGTTGAGATGTTTATAAAACTGACAGATAGAAATACATGAACATATAACTAATTAAAATTTACAAAAATATTCGTTGGAAAATATCTAACGGTCAAAGCGCGGGTGTGAGTGTGGGTATGGATCTTCTGTAATCCGACGCCCACACCCACATTCCAATTCACACGAGGTGTAAATTAAAATAACGCAGATTCTCTGTGTGAAAATCTTCGTATAGAGAAAGAAACGAACCAAAGTATTTTTTAAACTCCTTCGCAAGTTTTATTATATTCTAAGGAATAGTTTTATAAAAATATCTGGAAGGTGAAAAATTTTGTATCCATCCTCCTACAGTCAAAAATAAAATTAAAGTTAATCCACGAAACATATTACATATCAGTATTCCAAATTGCACTTTTTACTGTGAGAACATACTATCAAGTGCACTCAGTACGATGCCAATAGATATCCTGAATATTTCACTATCGAAGATCATAATAACGTTATTTTTTACGAATTTGTTTTTATTGATGCCCGCTTATACAAAATTTGCGATTATGTATATTACATCCTTTTTTTCTATTCTTTACAAATTGGTTTTTTCCAACTGAGGAGTTCATTTCTTTCCTACATTAAATTAGGAAGAAAAAGAAAAGAACGAAATGAAAAAGAACTGCTAAATAGAATATTTATGGTAACATCATCGACGACAAATCACAAATCTTTATTTCTTTCGTTACTACTATGAGAGACGACACGTGTACATTTTCCTATGTTGCTGCAAAAGATTCTGCACCTAAAACAGCTACAGGTATTGAACGTGCATGGCGAGATTTAAAGCTTGAATTTAGTCGAAAAGGAGACGGATTACCGGGTGCAAAATACTATAAAACAATCAGTGTACAAGGACCACAATTATTTGCTGTTAAAATAGATCAAACTGTATGGTATCATGATGAAGATAAATGGCATATGTATCAAACAGCTACAGATGTGAAATATGATAAAATACAATTGCCAGATTTAAATCCAAGACGCCCAACATTAGTATCAGCAACGACTGATGATGATGAGCCATGTTTTTGTGAACAAGACGAAACAGAACCTTAAAGTATCAATGTCAAAACAAATTTTATTCTCCATATTAGTGAATTTCTGTATGTCATATTTATTCATGAAATAAAATATACTGTCTAATGCTGATGTTTTATATTCTTACAAAAAAAAGCATCAATACGACCTAACATTAATAGTTTATATATAATAAAATCAGTACAGCAAACATACAGAATAAGTCTCAATATATTGATTGGGACTGCTTGAAACCAGAAACTTTTCTTTATTTTTGTAATCAATAATATTTCTCTCTTTCTCAAAACACATCCTTTTTCTATTGAGATGCATTCTGTTGTTGTAAAAATTACACTATAGTCGTTCTTATTATGAACATGGCTTATAAATAGAATTATCGGTTACAGGTATACACGGAGAAACAAAATTTCTGCTAGATTTTTTTCATAAAAATACTGACAATTAGTATCATGAAAAATTAACTGAAGAATAGTAATTATTAAGAAAAAAGCAAAGGTCATATCAATAACTTAGTTCAACAAAAGGACGTATTTCAACTGTAACTATATTTGTTGCAGGATTGCCATTAAATTGAAATTGATCTTTATGTTTTTCATAGATATTAATTCCTTTTTGTTTGTATATGTCAGATGAAATTCGATCATTTAAAACGATATAAATTGTTTTCATGATATTATAACACATAAAAAGTATTCCTGCATAACGGCGACAAACATTCGGATTTAATTCAAAGGCATATTCTGTATAGAAATTATCTTTTTGTATTTCATAAATATCAATAGTTTTTTTATAATAATTCAATGCTATTTGAGCATTTTTCTCATTGTCTTCGTAATATAGTGATGCTATTTGTCTGTAACATGTAGCAATGTGTTCATCATCTCGTGCATGATTTTCTAAAAGAAATGGTAACAATTCAGTTCTATAAACTTCTATTGCTCTATCAAATTGTTTGTTATCTAAATAATGTTTAGCTTTTTCTTTATAGTCCAACACACGTTGTTTAAGATCAACAACACGGCATGAATTCGGTAAATAATTATCAGTAGTAATTTCATCGCTTGAATCTATACACGTACATTGTTGTTTTTTGTCACTAGCATGATTTAGTTGAATGAGTTCTTTATAGGCAATTGATAAATGAGATAAATACTGTAGACGATTCCTTTCAATGAAAATAATAAGTTTTGAATATAATTCTATAGCTTGTTCTTTATGAACTGTAGCAAATTGTTGACATTTTGAAATAATTGTGCTGATATGTTGTTGAACAGTTTCTATTTCATACTTTGTCATAAATTCAATTTGTTCTTGATAAATATTCATAGTTTGATCTAAATTGTTTTTTTTTAATTGATAGATTATAGCTATTTCATCATAATTTTGTAATGTTTTTTGTATAAATTCATTTAAATTATACTTCGTATTGATATTTAATCGATATGTTTCTAGAAAATGAATCATTTTATAATGTAAACTAATTGCTGACTCGAAGTTATTTTCCATCAAATATTGTTTAATAATTTCGTGTTTCCAGATATAAAAAACAAAACTAATTAAATCATCTTCAATAAAACGACCGGTAGTATGATGCTGACATACAAAATCTAATAGATTTTCATATGCTGTCACTGAATTTTCTAACAAACGTTTTGTTTTAAATTTAGCTGCTATTGTTTTATATTCATTTATAATCTTCATTGTATCATTTTGATGTTTGAAAAGAAGACCTATTAATTTTTGATAAATTTCAATTGCTAAACATAAGTGATTGGATTTTTTGTATGCATCAATAAAATGATCTCGAAAATGAATTAAGACCATAGTCATTTGTGAAGTTAATGGACTGATTATTTTTAAAATTAAATTGAGAAAAATCTCATAAATATCAAGAACTGTATTAAATGCATCAGGTTTTTGAACTATTAATTTTAAAACTCTGTTCAAATGGTTATATAACACTGTAATATCAGTTGTTTCATGTCGAACAGTTTCACAAAGCATTTCATAAATAAGAATTGTTGTATCTAAATCACCGATGTTTTTGAAAAAGTTAATTAAACATTGTTCAATAATCGAAATAGTTGTTGTCATTGGATATGATCGATGTTTGCTGACAAAATTAATTGCTCTTTCATATATATTAACAGCAGACTCCCTATCATTTTTAATCGTTTGATAATACTTTGCTAATTTACTATAACAGTCAATTGTATGTAAACAAATGTAACCATATTGCTCAAAATATTCAATTGGTATTTGTAAAAATTCAAATGCTGAATTGAAATCATTCTTTTTCTCATATAATAGTGCTATATAACAATAATTATTTTCATTCATGCAATCACCAGCAATGTTAGTAATTGTTGATAATCGATTTTTATATGATTGAATAATGGAATCAAAATTCATATCGATAAATGACAAATTTTCATCACATATGCGTCTAACATCAGACATTTCGGAACCAAATTGTTGACATAATAAAATAGTTTTTATTAATGAATCTTTAGCATCACTTATTTTCTTTTGTTCATAAAATAAAGCAGCTAATTTCATATGACAATAGATAATTTTCTTTCGCAAATCTGATTCATTTTTCAACCGAGGATCTATCCATTTATCATAGTAATCAAATGCGAAATGTAAATAGTTAATATTTTGAAAAAATATTCCGAATGCGGGCAGTTTCAATGGAGTGATGGGCGGCGTCAATAATGGTACGGGTGGTGTCATCGGCGTTCTGCCGGGTGTAACTACTATATCATTACCGTCAACACACAGTTTCATTAATATATCTTCGGAATTATCTGGCCCTCTTGACTGTTGCTTTTTGTAAGTTTCTATCATACCTTTATAGCTGATGATAATATTTTCTAAATCATCTGGATGATATTTAAGACATAATTGAATCATCTTTTCGTAGTAATCAATAGATCGATTGTCCCAATCTCTGTATAGTTCTGCTAGACGTTCGTAACATTGTAAAGTATATAGATAATATTCGTGATTTGACGCATATGGTTCACATTGGTTCTCAACTTTTCGAAAATAATTAATTGCCATTGTTCGACAATACACGTTATTATATCGACGTGAAGAAAAATCATATTGATGATTGAATGATAAATATCCAGTTACAACTGGTGTACGATATTTAAGGATATCGACTAGACCAAGATCAAGGAAACTTTTCCAATTTTTCCATGTTCGACTTTTTTCTTCCGCAGTTGTTATCATTTCATGGGTTCCTGATTCAGCTATTGTCATACATGTATGACAATGAAAATCAGTAGTATCGCGCATTTCATAATCAATAGCTTCTTTGTACATGTTCCATGCTAGTTGAATATCTCCATTTTTTTTACGAATACGTGCGATATTAATTGAAGATATATTTCTGTAATTGTCATACATTGCATATTTATCAATTGGAATGCTTGGACCTGAATAAATGTTGCTTGCTATCTTATCATCAGTAGGTTTCCATAAATTAAATGCTTGCGTGTAATATTCCACTGCTATGACATAGTTTTTTAGTTCTGAATAAACTCCACCAAGGCAATTTAAAGTAGTTATTGTCAATTCATCATTAGATTTATCAACGATGGATAAGGCTTCTAGTGCTAATTTTATCGCCAAACCATATTCTCCTCTTTTCAATGCCACCCATGCTTGACCTGTCAAGCATGCTGTAGTCATCAAAAACTTTGGTTCATTGAACAAAGCCTTATAGTATGCATCTGCTTTCGAACGTGGAGATCCAATAGATAACGACTGATCGATTAGTAAATTTCCAATTCGAATCAATTTGCCTTCGATTGTTTTTGTTGACTTTAAAATTTGATAATCTTTCATTGTTGATATATTTATATCATCTTCATTAATAAATGTTAATTTAACAAGAGTTACTACAGCCTTAACCATTTTTCCTTTGACTACTGTTTCAATTTCTTTATTTTCAATAATCTGATCAATTTGAAAAAATGAATCAACCATGAATATAAGTTCTTGTTCATCTAAATTACGTCCGTTCCACAAGTGACTTACATCAGCAAATGGTTTTCGTTTTAGCTGCATTTTATGATCAATTTTAATTTCAATTTCAAATAAAACAGATTTTATATCATCAGGCAAGATTGAAGTGTCATCTTTAGGTTTAATTGCGCCAGAAAAATCCACTGCTATGCCTTGTGTTCGACTAGCTGAGAAAAAGCTATTGATGGATATTATAAGTGTACCATGTTTTAAATTTTCCTTTAATTTATCAATTTCATTAATGAACATTTTTTGTCCTCTATAAACAGTTTCATATGTATTGTCTTGATACACGTATAAATCAATAAATTCATGATAAATCTTATTCAATTCGTTAAATAAATCCAAGATGAAGAAACGAAATATAAGAATTCCTTCAATATTTTGTTGACGCATTGCTTTATTCAATAGACGATATACAAACGAGTCACGTTGATACCACAGAATAGCAAATTCAGGTTTGTAAGTATTTTCAAATTCATCGATAACTTTCAGCACGGATTCATTAGCTCGATAATATATTCGACATTGTTCAAGAAATTTGATCTTTTGTTGCTCATAATCTATTTCAGGTAAGTCGAATAACAAATCAATAAATAAGGGATTCCAAAAGTCCACAAAATAAGCAAATTTATTAAGCAGATTGGTCGATCGATCTTCTTCATATTGTTTTTTGAAAATCGTCATAGGTAATTGTGCATGGCGAATATAGTTGTAAATTTTGGAACATAAATCATCCGTTAATATATGAAGATCTGTGTACGTATTGACTATCTATAAGTTATGTTTTTAAATAATGACATAGAAATTTTTTTGACTTAAGATTACCTTAGGATATACATTTATTTCTTCTTTTTTATAAATTGTACCATGTACATATATTGAGTGTATTACAGGCAGATCGTGGACTTTTTTAAGAAGAGCTTGAGTAGCATATTCATCGAAAAGAATAAAAAGTATTTTGATATTTTTAGGTGCAGAACAAATATATTTTTCACAGTCTTCTGACAAACCATAAAAGTTTTTCAATAAATCAGCACTATTTTCAATTTTAGATTCAATTGAATCAAAGTTTATATTTGTAGCTGCAGATTTCATTCGCAGCCATACGACAATTATTGCTTCACTGAAGTTGGAATATGTTGTTGAGCCATTATAAATCGATTCTTGACGGTTAAATACATTATTATCAGTAGTTACTGACTCAATTTGATCCATATTTAACAATAAATAGTTTCTACTATGGTTCTATTGACAAATTCGATAGCTACGAATTTCATCATAAGACGTTCGTCAATAATTTCGTCGTTTCAATTTCTCTTCCTTATCTACAGCAATGACAACCTTAAGTTTTATTCCTCGGAAGAAAGAAAAGAAAAAAAAATGTTTTTTTTTTTAAAAACCATTTCTTTTGCTTTCATTGGAATAAAAAGAACGCAATATATTCGTGTTCTCGAGGAAGAAATGCAATTGTATAATTATTGATTGAGAAAAGCCAAAACATTATGCTTGATTACTAAAGAAAATATTTTTTCTAACATGAGTTACCTAATTCAACTTCGAATGTAAATGAAGAATTTAGTGTTTTGCATAAATTCAATGAGCAATACAAAAATAGAAAAAACTCTTGCATGTCAACCTATGACTCACTGCACGAGAGAGATGCCTGATTTCCATTGTAGCCCCTCAATCGATAATTTCAGATTTTGATGAAAGTTATCCCATTTTGTAGAGCGAAATTTTTTGGTGAGATATAGCCAAATCTTTAGACCTAACGAATTAATTTTTGCTGAGATATGATTATCGGACTGATACTACCCAAAATAGACTTTTGTCAATTAGTTATTTTAAATGTTGTCGACATATCTCCTCACAGGTATATGATAGAGTTCTGAAATTTTTATAAAATAGGCTCAAAAATAGCCTATCTTCGCGATAGACATTCTTCAAATCGGTCTAATAGAATTCGTTCAAAATTTTTCCCTAGACTACTAACGTGGTACTAGTTAATCATGCAGTCAAAAGTTTGGAATCTTGAAGTTTGACCCAACAAGTGCTGTCACAATATAGCAGTATTATTTGTTGCAGTAGAGGGTAAAGAGGACTTTGGGTGATTTTGACACACGTGTAACCTTTGCGGATTATAGAAGTCAATATTGGTAGATTCTAGTATAAATTTCAACTTGAACGATAAAATTTTCACCCTATTTTAATATTCTATGAGATTGACACTTTCATGATCTTTATATTTCAGGCAACCGAAATATCTGATTCATGAATTTTGGTTTAGTCTTCACATGATTCAATAGTCAGTCTATATACCAGTCGATAGAGAATTGAACGCTGAACAAAACTGTAGAATTCGTTTATGAGTTAAAATCAAAAAATGACTATGAAGAAAAGAACATGTTCTTCCTCAGACATTCTGCATCGGAGAGATACAATTTTTCTTAACGTAAAACACTTTGAAAAGTGCAAACCTATTGAAATATTAATAACTATTCAATTCTTTCATCGCTATTTCAAGCTTTCATAACTATTTCAATATTTGTCACGTATTTAAATCTTCATAGCTGTTCAAATACGTGTTCGTTATTGATTAAGAGCCAGATTTTCGTAAATACTTTCCTAAATTGATGCTTACTACGGAGCACTTTTCAGTTATTCGCTGCACTAATAAATAAATATTCTTTATTTTGAAAATTAAGCTCAAGATCTTATTTAACATTATTCATTTTTTTCGAACAACGGATGGAGGGAGGAGCGGAGGAAGAAATAGTAAAATATCTTGATAATAATATCTGCGTCATCGTTACTCATTTATAAGCAGTACTATTTAGAGAGATTTAGCACCGATTAATCAAGTTTTATAACTGCTCATTTATGTAGTAGCTATTTATTTATGTTTAGTATTTTTCAATCATATTATAATGAAGTAAAGTATTTAATTTTTTGTAGCATGACTACATAATATTATTCTCACGGACGGTAGAAAAAGATAACATATTCAATGTATATATCTAGAGAATGAGAGAGAAATAGGAAGGAAATCAGAATGACCGAGGTCAAAGAATTATTAGACATGAATATTTTAAATAAGAGCAATGTTAATATACTCGATCTACCAGATGAAATGCTACGTGCTATTTTCAATAAACTGAATATGATCAATGTACTCTATTCATTAGTAGATGTTAATCTACGATTTGACCGATTAGTCCTTGATTCTTTATATATTCATCATCTCGATTTTGTGATCAAACGAGATTATATTCATAATCAGTCAAAAGATACCTATTTTCTCGATAGAATTTGTAACAAAGTTTTACCTCGAATTAGAGTTCATGGGGAATTTGAATTTGCGGCAAATTCAAAATTCTTATACCGCTTATACCGCTTATATCGCTATAGCGGTATAGTGGTATAGCGGTATAGCGGTATAAGTATCCTTATACCGTTGTATCTCCCGCACCCTCACTTTGTTGTTCCCCAAGGGTACCCTCCTAAGGGTCCCCTTAAGGATACCTCCCAAGGGTACCCCTCAAGGGTACCCCTCAAGGGTACCCCTCAAGGGTACCCTCCTCACCCTCACTTTGTTGTTCCCCAAGGGTACCCTCCTCACCCTCACTTTGTTGTTCCCCAAGGGTACCTTCCTCATCCTCAAGATTGCTCTCTACCTCTATATAATGAATTTGTCGCAAATTCATTTTTTTTAAAGAAAATGAATTTGCCGCAAATTCAAATTCCCCATCATATGGCTTTTTTCCTTTTTCTCTAGATATCGTTATTTTCATACTAGAAGTTTTATCGAGAAATTTAATACATTGTAAATTGTTGCATTGACTTATTGTGCTAAAATTTTTGATTTTAATCCTTCAACTATTATTTTTATCGCCATACAATTGAATGAAAAAACACAATTGCAGAATCAAGGTAATGAGATACTTGTTTTTATCGGATTTGTTATTTATTTCTTGTAGATGTTATGATTTATTATTGATAGTTACAATTGAAGGTGATATAGCTTGTACATCATAAGTAGTTGTATGGTGTCGTGCAATGACAAATTCAGATAATCAATTAACAGTAAAATCTATATTTTTCCTTATGTTTGTAATTTAATTGAAATATATATTAGCAGTTGAAGGAAAATTAATTCTTATTGCTGTTAATCATCATCAAGTATTAATAACTGAAGCATCGGAATATCAAGGTTGTGGTCGACATTTATTTGGATTGAGTATAATAGCATATTTAGCAGGAAAACTATCCGAACTTACAAATAATCCATCATAAATAAAAATGTTGTAGAAAAAAAATTGATTAGTTTTTAAATCGTTTTATTTTTAGTGGTGAAAGTGGTAGTTTTATTTTATTCACAAGTTGTCTTGGTTTTAGTACATCATTAGATGGAACAGCACTAATGTGTTTACATGGTTATAGAGTTTTTTTATCGAATTGGTAGTGATGCGTAAGTAAAAACAAATATGATCGTAATGATTTATTTATGTGTTTATTATAGAATAACATTTTTCGTCAGTGCTTATGTAAATTGTTTGGATACGAATGCACAAGCATTGGCAGATTCGATTGAACGTACTTTAATTGAAGTTAAAACATCTTTTATGAAATCAAATTTGTTAATGTAAATTGTTTTTCTATGGGATGATGTAATTAATGTATATTATTTTTTTAAACCTGTACATAAAAATTGTTGGAAATTCAAGGTCTTCTAACGAATTTCTCAAGAAGTGCAATACTTACAATTTTGGTTTTCTCTAATGGATCGTTTATTTTCATTGAATTTGTATAAATATCATCAATTTTTAAGGACCCTACGAATATATCTAGCGACATAAGTAGGATCCGTTGTATATGAGTATAAAAACTTTCTATTAACAGAATCCGGTTTTGGGTCTGAGTCTGAAAATTTTAGACTCATCAAGTCTAGTCGTCTGAGAAATGTATACAGTACGCTAGTCACCGAATACAAGAAGAAACTGGAAAAAAAGTATCTCGTGTCTTTCAAGTGATTATCCAATACCGATTAGAAAATTTCATTGAGATTATCAAAGTACGGTTTTATCGGGTCCGACAATGTTTTACACGACGAGCTCTAGACGTAAGATGATATATGATATATTAATAGCCGGCGGTATTTAAAGTTTTCTTAGTTCCATGAAATTTTCAAATGGTAAATAATCGTAGAGAACGTGATGATAAAAAACTAGACAACAACATCAATGACAATTGATGCTGAATTTCGAAAATTTTGATAAAGCTAATGCTTATTTTTATACCGCGGCGGCAGCTCAACTGGTCGCTTTATATCTCTGAATATGTCCAAGACGGAAACAAAATTTGAAAACTTTTTGCAAGCTGATTTTACTATATTTTCGATTGTACAGCTGCTGATACGATCAATGCGATTGTTTGAACTATACAGTGCTTCAAACAGTTGCAAGTTCGAGAGAAGAATCTTTCACAATAATGTTACCACAATATATTTAAATTTTGATGCAAACAAATTCAATCCTGAGAACATTTCATGAAACTGTACGAAAAGTACATTATTTCTTTCAGCCCTCATCGCAACTCTTTTATTAGAAACAGTCGTTTGATTACAATTTTTAACAAAGAGAGAGCAACTAACACGACTAGAGCCCGTCGGGTCCACAATTTTTGGATCCGATCGGATTCAGATCCAACGCGACGGGTACTAAATACAATACAAATTTCTATCTATCAACAAAGGTCATACGACAAATTTTCGATTATCAGTGGATTGTTAGAATTTCCCTATCAGGTTACTATTGAGAAGATCAACGCATTAATGATAAACTACTGTTCAGGCAATAGATATAATGAAATAGTTTCTATGGAAGGATACCACCCTCCTCCGCTTTTATTAACGATATTCAGTTCTCAACGAGGATAAAGTCAATCAAACTGAAACTTTTACCATAGACAGAACGAGAGCGTTTTCTAGGATATTGTGGTTAAATGGTTCGTTTTTACAGGACATCATCGGATCCCATCTAATTTCATCCAATAAAGCTGAAAATGTTTTTTAAGACAGCGAAAGCAAGACCTCAAAAATCTTATTAAAGTTTTCTATAAATCTCTGTTACTTTTCAACTCAATAACTCTGAAAGAGTAAGTTGGCGTAGATCAAATGATATCTTCAATTGCATAAGACACTTGATATTATCATCCTATATATCGCGCTCGAAATCGATTGTTTCGTCGAAAAAGAAAGGAGATCCTTAAAAAAAATTCATCGAATTTAATAGCTATTATCGTTTTTATGTTAGATATTGAATCGTTGATTTTAATAATAAAATACACATTTCAATTTCTTTCGTTGATCACAAAATAAAGATGGTTTTTATTCTCATCACCAATACATAACTCATAATCATAAAAGTTAAAACAATAAAAAGAAAACATCTTATTACAAAGATAACAATAACAAAACCTATGCGTCTAAAACCTGGACAAAATATAAAAGTTTTTAGATTCTCTTTTTTTTTTAAATTCTATTTTTGTTCAATACAAAAAAAGAAAAACAACAGCTGTCGATAAAGTAAAAGAAAATAAATAATTAACTGTTGGTGACAAATTTTTAAAGACAAAAAAATGATAGTACCATAAGACAAACAAGATAGAATATATTATTGTGGAAGATTGATAATCTTGTTGCTTCAAAATTAATAACGAATTTGTCGTGAATTAAAATAATCAGCTTGATGGTATTGATCAAAATGATGATTTTGCTGCTGTTGATTCAAGCGATGATTTCGTTGGTGTTGATTGACGTGATGAAATTGTGAATTCGAATAATACCCATATTGTTGCGCTTGTTGAGATGGACTATGAGCATAATAATCATAATAATTATTTCCTTGTTGCCCCTGTCCCAATGTATGAGCACGTTGGCGACAATCATACCTACCATAAAGACGATGACCATTTCGATAATAGTGATGTTGAAGATTGAATTGTTTTTGTTGTATACAGCCATCAACTTGTGCAAGATAATCATTAATGCGGCGAACAAAGAATTTTACTAAACGAGGAATAGCACTATTCTTTAATTCAGTAAAAAAAATTCTAAAGCTATTTATACGATTGAATCAAGGGACTTACCCATTTTTATCTAAATGCTCATCATTTACAACTTGAATGAAATATGGATATTCATTGGCATGTTTCTAAAATATGAATAAATAAGTCATAAAATAGTGAAACAAAAACTTACTAGTATTATTGTACATTTATTTCCTTCGTGTTTGTACGAGCATATTCATCAGGACCACCATTAATCTGCTACCAATCAATTACTTCATCTGGCTAAAATGAATGTTTTTTAATTAAAAAAGATTTTGCTAAAATTCTTTTTCTTTATCATCATGGTCAACCAGAAACGATTTTTTGAGCATCACGTAATGGTAAATGGAGAAAATCGGAGGCGATCCAGAAATCGCATGGTTAGTTAAAATTGCATTTAATAATGGATTTGGATTCATTTTTTTTATCTGAAAAAAAAACAAGTTCAACGACATGTAATTAAAATTTTTCATTGATATTCCTATTCCTAATAATTATTAATTTATTATTATTTTTCTCCGCCTAAGTAAAAACAAATTTGTTCCCTATTCATCCAATTAAACAAACTTCTTGTTTACGACTACAAAACTAATGCCTCAAATTGATTTCTTTTTATGCGACTAAGTACACTTAATTGACCAGATTTTTCCAAACGAAAACAACCTTCACTATCAGAAAGACTAAATGGACAAAAATTACAGTGAAATAAATGCGAAAACATCGGATTTAAATCCGAGTGTTATGTGTACTTCAAAAAGTGAACAGGTATATTCACTTTGTTTTTTATCATCTGAGACAATATCTACCCTATTTGCTTTCTCAACTGTAGTTTTTATGCATTTTGAGCCTTTTTCGAGGGATTTTTTGTTGTCGTAAACAAGAAGTTTGTTTAATTGGATGANAAAATGAAGTAACAAGAAAAACCAATTATCGTTTATGAAAGAGCAGATGACGGGCTATCTCCCCATGTATTTATCTCAATTTCGGAATTTTTGACGAGAATTGACTTTTTTTGAAGGGGGAGGGGGCGCCTTAATGAAAAACCATAAAAATAATTATTATATATAAAAATCAATTGTTTTATAAAGGCATCATTAACCTCGTACTATTAGTTATCATGTTTCTTTGAATGACTTTATGTTAACAAAAGAATTCTACGTCATTCACCTATATTATTCATCGTCTATCTTGAAAATAGAATAAATACTTTGCATTTTTGTATAGATTTTTGACAATGAATTATTTTATGTCTCAAGAGTAATGCAAATAGAAATATATATAGTAATATCTTTGGTCCATAACAAAGAAACACCTTTTAAAAACTTAATGTATATATGACTTCTTTCTGTTTGACATTTTTTTTTGTTCATTGGAATATTAGATTTATCTTAAAATGATTCCTAAAGACTTTCAAATTAATATCTAATTACATTTGATTGTTTTTTTAATAAACTGGTAAAAAAAGATACTCAATAGATCCTAACAATTATCGTTTAGTGTTAAAAGCACGAACACAGTTGTTTTTTGTATTTAGCACGATTTCATCTAATGTTCTGCACTTGGAAATTCGCTAGGGCATTGACTCGCAACAAATCTGATAATGCATCACTTTGAATATGAACGTTAGTTTTTAGTATGCATTACTGTTTTCTTTTTCATATAAATATAAAAGAGTCATTAAGATATAAAATCTAAAAAAGAAAGCTTCGTAAATGATCTGTTAAAGAGTTCAAATAATTGCTAAGCTTTTCTGCTCAACTTCATCGAAAGATGACGCATGTACTTTAAATAGACGATACAAAATGAAAATGATGTTGAAAGGAAGAGACTCACTCAAGTGTAATGCGGGCAACAAGCATTTGTTCATATTTTTTTGCGTTTTTCCATTCAATTTGTTTTCTGCGATTCTTCCTTATTCATTCATCATCGTTAGTCAATCTTATCTTTATTTACTAATTTATGTCTTTATACGTCTTAAGCAATAAAGCGAGAAGTTGATTGTTGTAAAAAGAACTCAAGTAAATCAGATAATTAGGTTTTCTTTGAGTATGTACATAGTACTCTTAGAACAAAAAAGAAAAAAGAAACATTCAATGGACGTTTACAGTGTGTTGTTTTTTTGATTTAGACGAAGAACAATCAAATACATATAGTAATATTAAAAATGGTAATGCAACGCTATTTGAAAAGAAATACCGTTTGAAGAGAGTCGACACATCGATTTTTAGAACAAAGATATATAACATGAACATACAATCGTGGTTTTTATTAGTTTTTTTCTAGTATGATAAGTATGTTACAATAATATGATATCAAACATCCGTTATTTGACATCTGAACTCTTCATTTAACATCATTGTTTTTGTTTTATTTCATTACGACCGTCATCTTCAATCATAAGAAAAGTAACATCATCATCAAGCAACAAAGAAACTAAGTAAAATACCAAATAACAAGAGAGAAAGAAAAAAAAAGAAAAAAAAGAAAAAGGAATAGATCTATCATATTGTGCTTGTTTTACGATGAGATATAACAAAGACATCTCGACGTATATAACTATTACTAAAATTTACGACGATTTTTAATAAACGATCATGAAAGTAAACATATTTTACTCTTTGAAATTATTTACTATAAAACTATCTGAAAATTATTTTATAGTTATGGTGCCTGTTTGTCGTATTTTTAATAGTTACCATCTCGACAGTAAATATCATGTATTAAAAAAAGTAATTTATTATATTTATTTATTTTAGTCATTTGTTTATACTACTGATTCTAATATGATATTAAATCCACCAGAAAATATCAAACAAACCCCATCAAATTTAAAATTATCATCTTTCATGGCAAAAAATCGATCAGTTGCCAAACGTTCACAACGTAATGCAAATATTCTCTATCGATATTGTCGTCAATCTGGTCAAGCACGACAATTCTGTCTAAAATATGCTGTTCGAATGATATATGCTACGGGACATTAACTATAAATAATATCCTAATTTTGCATTTGTCATCAAAACATGCAAAGACTAGTTTTTATTGACTAAAGAGATTAAATAAAATCAATCTTATGTTGACAAAAACTTTTTATAGAAATTAATATCAATGAATCTATTATTAGATAAAATATCGATTTTCTTTAAAATCCAAAAAATCCATTATAAATGCGATCATTTAAGAAATTGTTCATTGAAGACTAACAAGATTTTTCTTATGAAATGAAGGCTAATTAGTCTAGACGAATAAAGCATTACTTCCATTAAAAGGTCAATTTAATTCAACTCTGAATACTATTAGACTTGTATAGACATTGCTAAACGGAACATATTTTTATTCTCTATTAAACATGACATGCAATGAAAATAAATCTTTGATATTTATTGATAATGACACAAAAGAAAAATAAAAAGTACACTTACAGAAATAGACGTCATCATTAAATTTATTAATATTATGAACTTTAAGTGAGAATAATTAAAATCACAGAGCATCTAAAGATTATAAACCCCCGCATATATTCTTACAATAATATTTATTCTATTGTGAGAAACTAATGTTACTGAATCGTTGATTACCTGTTTAGATGAGCATGCTGCTTACCGACTATCGTTTCCTATTGTCGATTCTCTTTGTCTATTCTTCCATAGATATTAATATGATAAAAAATGAAAAAAGAATGCTTCATTTTTACTGTATTAATATCTATAGAAGAATAGACAAAGAGACTCAACAATAGCGAGAGATAGTAGACAACTACGCACATCTAAACAAGTAATCAACAGTTCAACAATATTAGTTTCTCACAATAAAATAAATATTATTGTACGAATATATGCGGAGATTTTATAATTGTGGAACACTCCGTAGTAAAAAAAATAGTAATGAACATATAAATAAAATTCGATTCTTCTAGAAATCGACAACAACCTATATACTTACTGGTTTAATTAACAGGGAATAACAAAGAATGTGGATGTCTCTTATCTGAAATAGTACTCAATATTCTTAATTAAACAACGAACGCTGATTTTACATTGATACTAAAAATTAGACAAGTCACCATGGTAATATATTGAAATAATGATGAATGGATAAATATAATGTGATAGTCAAGCAAACAATCTATTGGAAAAAAAGCATTTTTGAACGGCCAATACTGATTCTCATTTGTTTATATTCACAGCTTATTTACAGTTAACATTAAAAATGTAAATGTTGCATAAATTTGAAGAATTATATCACCGTTAAAAGTATTGTTTTCTCATCATTATTAGACAATTTCCTTCCTGTTAGTCAAAACAAAACACTTCATGGCATTGTAAGTGTATTCTTTTATGGCATTCAAATGCTTTAAATCGTTGTATTTTTACACTTATTTAAATGAAATTTGGTCTTCAAGTTCGTCTAAAATTCAATAAATAAAATCTTTCGATAATGTGATATATGCCAGCAAGACATTCTATAATCTATATGTTTAAACTTTTTTAAAAAGCAATTGTTAATTAAATGTTACTATTAATTATATATACTTATTCATTAACACTAGATTATTCAAAATTCAATTCATAATTAATAATGATGGATATATATAATATAATGAGCGCAGATAAAGAGACTAATGACACATATAATGAATAGAACGAGAATGACATATTTAACAGTTTAAAAGTTCATTTCTGAAAAAGAAATTTATTCATATTTTATCTTGGTCTCAATAAATGACACACATAATTTTTTTTTATTCATTTTTCCTAATATGATCATTTGAGTTATACTAGGTTTACATGTCTTGTTACTCGGTCTACTCTGAAATTTACCTTGTTAAATTTATGTCATCTACAAATATATGACTGAAACAAGAATTTGTTATCATGCTGATCTTATCACGAATTCTGAGCTTCATTTGAACTTTTGCATAGTGTCTTTGTACCTTTTAGCAGTAGATTGAAGATGAAAACATTTTTAGCTGAACCCTCATATAGCATCGTAAATCACATAGTCAAATATAAAACAATGATCGTACATGCAGAATTAAATTAACAATAGTCTATAAGTATCATTTCTAGTTGACAAAGGCTATCGAACGAAGATTACAATAAGATTTCTAAACCCAAAAAATCCTTCTTCAGTCCACTTCACTTTATGATCTCACTACCGTGACTTTAAAAGATTATTTTCATTCAATAACTTCTATAATAATGATTATTTACAACGAAAACTTCAAGACGACTGACATTTGCATGTTGTATTCGAGGTTATTTTACAGTCTATTATACACTACACGGATCAAGACAGAAATATTTTCATCTGCAACCTATTACTGAAAGGTACCAAACTAATAAAAAAATCTTATGTGTGTTATTTATTTGGATCAGTATCATATATGCTACAATCTAAATGCTTTGTTGTCTTATTAAAGTAGCTGAATGCTTGATGTGTCATAAGTTTCAAGCCAATAAAAACAAAAAACAAAAGTAATGATCAATTTAAAATGATCTTAAAGAAGCAACTTAACATTAATTTTCTTCTTTTTTGAATTTTATATAACGTATTCCATCATATCTATGTTAATTGTGATAAATGCTTTTCATTGAACTCGATCATCTACGGCGAGCTTAGTCAAATATTTTGCAATTACATTCTTAAAATAGGAAGGATTAAAAAGATTTTCATTTTTTCTCTTTCATATAATTTAGCATACCATGAATATCTAAAATAGAATATCAAATTTTAAGTTCACGTTGTATATATTTATATAGTCTTTCTTATGAAACCAAATGATATTGAATAAGAAGTCGAAAAAAAAATGCTACTTGATTGTTGGATACACATAAAACAGAAAAGACTGAAAACAATCATATTTGAATATATAATTCTTGTCCGCTATAAGTGAATTTTAAATCAATCTGATTCAAATGAATATTTTTTTATTGCCGTATAAGTCATAAAAGTTTATATAAGATTCAAAGTTTAATTTGAATAAGTGTAATTTAAACACGTCTGTTATTATTAACTATGAACGGTAATACATATACATTACAACTAATTTTTAGCCAGCAAAATACACAAAAGACTTTATTTTTACGTCAGACAATTTGTCATTGTCATCACAGAATCGTTTGGCCTATATTATATAGTTTGTCCTACATTTTGTCATTGTTCTATTTATCAAAAAGGAAAAGAACAACCGTCGTAAATAATCGATACTTAATAATTCTAGAAGGCAAATCGTTAACACAAATATGGTTTGTTTCAATCTTCTGTCTCTTCAATGTTTAAGTACTCTGCTAGAAGAGACAATCTAAATAAAACGAAGCGTCCTTCTATCCATCTGTTATTAATTCGTGGATGAAAAATACTAGAATGAAATTTTCTGTTATAAGCAAATGATTAATGTAAATAATTGTAAAATATTTTCTTTTTGTTCATTTTTTAATCAAAATAATATATTGATAAAATCAGATGTCTTTTCATTGTAAACTTGGAAATCTCTTGCCAGTTATAATTGAAAATGAACGAGTTGTATTCCTAATGGATTCCATAAAAATGCAAATATCAATCTTTTATAAAGTCAAAACATTATGTGTCATGTAGACTGTAATGATTTATGAATGCTTCGAACAGAATTCGGGTACATACTAACTTATTGTCCCCGACGTGTTTCATTTTTACCGTATTTTTTTCAATACAATGCCGTGATCCTAGTGAGGAACACCAAGAACACTGATGCTCAAATGTCAACATGAACCTTTTCATAGAAACAAGTCTTAACAAGAATAGTTTATTGTGAAGGTTTCAGATATTTTCGGTCTTCTTATTCCGAGATACAATCGTGGTAGAGGCGTATGTTTTACACTCGCCTTGGTTCTATGCAAAGCTTCAAGTTGAAATTCGAAAATCAATGTTTCCGGTGTTCCGTCAAGAGACCACGGCATTAAATTTAAAAATATCGCAAAAATGCACTATGTTAACAGAAATAATCTATGGATCCAAATTCTTTTTGACATATTCATAATACATTAGAGTCTACACGATGCACATGCTTCTGACTTGAAAGCAATTAATTTGTTGAAAGACTTCTCTCCGAAACCTATTAAATTCATTGATATTCGAGATAAAAAGAAATATGTATGATAATCTTCATGTTAGCCATTCCATAAATATTAATGATTTACGTATAAATTTATTAAAGACATTGACCAAAAATGATATAAATAAAAATGAAAACCTATTTTCGAAAACGACTTAGTCAACTAAAGATCAGTGAGAAAGAGCATGTGATCATGTATGAACAAATTAAATATCTTGTTGTTATTTTTCCATTTCAGTGTTTGAAGACTAATTTAGATACAATAATTTATATGAAAAATAGTTCATAGTTAATAAGAAAAAAAGCAGAAAGTGATAAGGATGATTGACATATGGCAGATCGCGAAGAAGTTTTGCATATTATTAACAAAGAGAACTAACAGAAATCATATGATTAGATGTATGGGATGCCGTCAAATGGTGTAATTTATCATTGAATCAACATAACGTTGATTTTGCACTGCGAAAAAGAAGAATACGAAATTTCATAAAATAGATGTTTAAAGCAAAACAAACTCAAATGAAATATCAAATAAAACGTTAAATTCATCGTTTATTATTAAGTCTAATCGAATTAAAAGAAGCCAATTATGAACTGACAATGATTTCGCATATTAATATAAATGAATTCGAAATTGATAACTAAATAATAATTATTAAAAAATTGGGTAGTTTATATTATTAGTTGTCTTTCTAATTAATACTTTTGTTTTAATAAATATATTTTAAGATAACTTATCACAAATTAATACATAGTTCATAATTTTGTCATTTTCTTTCAATATTGCTTTCCTTCTGAGTGCAAAATGTATAATATCATATGTGTTCTTATTAGTTTTTTCTCTTATGTTTCCTTGCGTACAGAAAATTGACGGAAACCATACATTATATTGAATTCTCTTAAAGACAAACCGGTCAAATACTTCTAATGAAAGAATTACATATTAATCTTCATCAGACTACTATTAAGAAAAAGCTGTATATTTTTCCATTTGAAATTCTTCTCTATAAAACGTTTTAGTATTCATAAGATAATATTAACAAATCTTTTCAAATAAAATAGACAATATTTTTTTTTCTCAGTAATTCATTCAGTTTACAATCACATAATTGATCTGCCAATATTTATCTTTATCAATATGTCATCATTTGACAGCTTAGTTATTCAAATTTCCAAATGATAACATACGTTTTCCATTGACATAATAATAATTGACATAAAACAAAAAGGAATATAATGACGTCTCAATGTTTTCTATTGTATATATATATATATAACGTATTATAAAAATCATCACAGTTATCGATAATACTTTCGATATTATTCTTTGTTACATATACAAAAAGAAAAAGGAAATGTCAAACAGTTCGTCTGATAAAAGTATATCAATTAATATATTATTTTGATAATAAAAGATAGAAAAAAATAATTGACATTATTGTTTGATCATTATGTTAGTCCTGCTAAACGTCTGACGAACCAAATGTATTTACCATAGTAAAATCATTGTCCCACGGACTAGTCGACGTATCAGGAACCGGTGAACTACTACGATACTTGGAAAAATCTGTTTTGGGTTTTTTTCGTACAGATGGTTTGCTCTTCGCTAAATTACTAAAGTGTTTTAAAAATACAAATGATACAATCATATTTGTCACAAGACCCAATATTGAACCAAAACCATTGATTGACCTATAAAATAAGACAAAGTAAACTTCTATTATTTTATTTAGTTATTTATTAAACTCACCAGACGAACCAATGGTTTGCTAAACATCCAGCAACATCAATCGATGGCATATTTACTTGCTGTAAGTCAGTTGTTTGAATAATATCAATGAAATGCAAATGAATGCTTTTAAATTAAGTGTTTAAAAACAAATATTAAGTGTTTTTTCGCTCTTTCATTTTCTCGAAGTAGATTTGTATATTTCACAAATATGAAAAAAAATCTTAATGGAAAATAAATGTACTTTGATTGTATAGCATTGTTTCCTTTCATGATAAGAGACATCTTGTAATTGCTTTTGACTTCAAAAACGAACAAAAAAATAATTCATAGAAGAAAAAGAAAAGAAGTGTTTTTCAGTTCTTTGAATAGCTTAATAGAGAAGAAGACCAAAGAACTTTTAGCACAACTCCCACGGATTTAAAATGTGAGACACGATACAGCTACTAGTATTGTAATAGAGGAGATTAACCAATATATAGATTTCGGTTTATAACTTCCTATCTATTGCTAATGCAAGATATGAATCGCAATATATTGCAATGAGTGTGAAAAAGAAAAGTAAAGGACAATTATCATAGTAATTCCACTATGGAATTGGATGTCGCAGTTGTCTGTTACATTTGTGGAAGGAAGATTAGATTTCTAATCCTATACTTCAACACTTGTTTTCAATTATGTTTCACAAAAATGCATAATGTTGATAATTATATCGAAAATAAGAGCTTTAATATTTCAATCAGATGAAACTAGAAAAACTTAACATATTTCAAGGTTCTTGAATTATCAACATACTATCATTACATATGGTAACGTGTAGAGCAATATGTTAATTGTAATATGTCATAATGCAAGGAAGGAAGCAAACATGACTGATGAAATTATCTATTTATAACTGCGGAAGGACACGAGAGTCTAGTTTTATCGTTATAGACTTGAATATTTGTTGATGATTGTCTCTCATTGAATTTGAATTGTTTTTGCAATTATATAAAAGAAAAAACATTCAAATTTAATGAAAGATAATATCTTCGCTATTCTTACACATGATCTTTCTAATGTGAACTATATTTCAACACACACATAGTTTATTTAAATAAGTGAACAATGTACAATCGGATGTACTTTTGTCAATAGAACATACATACATTGATAGATTACCTCATGTTATACAGTTTTTGTAGGCGAAATGGATTGTAGAAAAAAACAAAAATGAGTAAGCCGATGAATGTCGATTGTTTCTAACTCTACATATTTTGTTTTCGTTCACTCGTTGATCATTGTTCTTATCATCAATAATAAATCTTCCGAGTCAAAATATTTACTTAACTTGAGCTTATATCACAATTGAACAAAATACAAAAGTGATACTTTTATTGCTTACAAGCAAAACGAAAAAAAAAAAGCAAATGTTTTATAGATATTTATCTATTGGTCATGTTCTGTACTTTTTATTGAGTATTCAAAGTAGGTTTTTTTTCAAAAATTAATCAATAGAAAAATTTATTTTAGATGTTATCACAGATAGTAATGGATTTATTTGTCCTAAAGATGGTCGTTGGCCTCATCCAGCTGATTGTGAAAAGTGAGATAGAAATTTGAATAGAAATACATTTGATATATTATATATTTTTAATAGATTTTATACTTGTAATGCAGGCATTGGCGTTGAGGCATGGTAACTATATATCGAATCATTCATTTCCTTTTTCTTTTCTTTCTTTCATCATTCAAAAAAACTTGAGAAAATAAGCGCATACCGATTAAAAAGTCTAAATATAAATATAATTCATCATTAACGGAAATGAAAACGGAAATAATTAAAAAAAATTTTTTTTCTTCATTTCACATTTAATCTTTCGAAAAAAAAAATAAAATAAACATCCTAGGTGTGGAAATGGTATGACCTATGATGTTGAAAATGGACGATGCGATTTATCAAAAAATATCGATTGTAGAAGTGGTGAAAGACCTAAACGAGTACCATCGTCAGAATGTATGTAAATATCTTCTATACTACGTAATTGTTATTAAATTAATTAATTAATTAGTTCAAACGGAACTCGTAATTGATCATATTATTATAACAACTACACCTAGTTTATCACATGATGAAATAGAAATAGAAAAACAATATCAAACAACAATTAAATTAACAACAATTATATCAAATAAATTAGCACACAATAGAATACTTGTACCAAAAAATGATCTTATTGAAAATAGTCCATGTACATTTCAAGGAAATAAACCTGATCAATATAATTGTCAATGTAAAAAACAAACAAACATTTATATTTAATTAAATAGTTTATTTTTCTTTTGTTTAGCTTATTTTACATGTAAAGATAGTATAATAACACGTATACAATGTCCTGATAAACATTTATTTGATGAATATCTTCGTTCATGTAATGATTATCGAAAAGTTTTTTGTGGAAATCGACCAACAGATCAAAGTGGAAACGATCCATGTAAATTCTTTGTTTTTTATTCTTATTTAATATATATTTTAATTAAGGTTTGGGTCAACCCAACGGTTGGTATGCTGATTATGGAAATCAATGTCGTTCATATTATTTATGTACAGAACAACGTAAAACTAAAATGGATGAATGTCCTATAGGATCAAAATGGAATCCGCATCGACTTCGATGTGATGATCCAAGATATATTGCTGCACCTTGTAAATTATATTTTTTTTTGTTTTGAGTTTTTTTTAAAAATCTTTCTCTTTGATTAAAGGTGGATACCGTCGTAATAGTAGTGTATCTTTATTAGGTAAGTTTATTTAATTCTATTTATAATATCAAGAAATATTTGTTGTTGCTTTTTTTTGTTTTTGAAGGTCATCATTATTATTATTGGACTATACTCATGACTTTTTTCTTCTTCTTGTTAACATTATAACAAATTACTTTTCTTTTTGCTTACATATTATAATAAAAAATGATCTAATCTAATGGCTAGTAACACATTGATCTCATATGTGTATATGATAGATGATAGAAGCATGAGAGAGAGAGAGAGAGAGTAACATAAAATACGTAGTACCATCATTAATCCATTTTTGCGTGCTTGCACAAGTGTATGTGTGCTTACAATCTTGGATTTTTATTATGAAGAATGTAAGTTACTTGCTTCGTTTTGCATGCAATGCTATTTTCTAGTACGACGAGTTTCCTATTATATTTAAATGGACATGATGATGAGAGTGCATATAAAGATATAAGAATAAGACAAGAGGAGAAGAAGGAGCAGAAGAAAAAGATTAGTTTTTCTGCTTCGATTCCCTTTCAACTATTGACATTTCCAGTGAAATGTAGATGCCATTATTTTTTTTTCTTGTCGAATACAAAAGGTAGGATCAATGTATGATAAATACTCTCTTCTTTCTTTTTGATTGGCTTCATTAAGTAAAGAATACACAAGCGAAAACAACAACTGCGCAGAATTCTCTGATTATTGACATTCTTAATTTTCAAATAGCAATGTTCGTATTTCGTTTTTTCTTCTTCTTCTTCTTCATTCTGTATTTCGAGCGATACTTCGATAAAAAATTGTATGCAAAAGACTCGTCATCAATAATATTTCTGTTTCTCTAGAGTACAGAATGATAGAATACAGATATACATATATATCACCGGGACCATAATAAACGGAACACACCTTGTCTCCACATTCATCATTCATCTAAGGGAAGTTAACTTCCCTTAGATGAATGATGAATGCAAGCAAAAGGTGTGTTCCGCTTATTATAATCCATGGAAATATATACTCATTCAAGTTTTTCATTAAAATTTTACGAAAGGGAAGATTATATTTATATATATATATATATATTTATTTGTCATTTTAACAACTTTTCTTTATTATTCTTTCCATCGTTTTTTATATTTCTGTTCTCTTAGTAAGCATTCGATGTTGTCTCAATAGGAAAAGAAGATTTTCATTGGTCTCTAACGACGAAATAACGAGAGGGCGAGACGCAAGCATCAGTATATAGTAGTAGCTTGACTATTATTTGTCTCGTGTGAATCCATCGAAGAGAAGAAAAAAGGAAAAAAAGAGAAAAGGACGAACGTAGGAAAAGAAAAGGAGGAGAAAAAGTAATGAAGAATGGCAAGGAAGAAATGGTTGATTATGGCAATGCTTGCACTTTTAAAAATCTTTCTCTCTTTCTTCGACTTAGACAGAGTTCCACGGACGATGATGTGATGACACTTTTGGCATGTGAACAACTAACAAAAAAAAATAGAAGATAGAAAGAAACAGACTAACAGTGTCGTAACGACAGCAAAAAAAACATTTTTGACATTTACAATAACATACAATGAAGACCTTCCATTGCCATCATGAATCGCTCGATTACTCGCATACAAAATCACACCAAGTGTAAACCGTAGCATCACGCCATCAATATACAGGAAAAACGTCTATCATAACGGATGAAAAAAACAGCTGACAATACGGCCTTCTATTCCATTCGATCGCGTGAGTCATAATGTGCTCGTCTTGTTGAAAGCAAAACAGAGTTGCAATCATATTGAATTTTTTTTCTTCTATCTTCATTCCTAGATCGTCGTTCACCTTAGCATTGTCTTTCTCGTTGTGTTCTTTTTTTCTCTTTTGAATGAATGTAGGAAAGATCGACTATAGAAGCCTTTTTATGCGTTTCTTAGATGCATTAGAGTTTATTAAAAATCGTTCAATTTATATTTCTTCATTTTCTTTATAGAAGAAATTCTAAATAATGTTCTTTATTTTTTGTTTTATATTTAGATATGATTGCCATTTAACGACACATATATATTTGTAAAAATGAATCAAAACGAAGACGATGATGATGGAATCATTGTCGATTCTTCGACAATAAAACCTGATTCAGTTTCTTTATCAGCTAAAATTATTTTTATACTTATTTGTGCATGTAATATGATTCAAAATGCAATTGTTGGTGGTTCAAATAATGCAATAATGACAACACTTGAATCAGGTTTTTATATGACATCAACAGAAACAGGTTTATTTCAATCTGTTTATGAGCTTATTGCTATTTTTACCTATCCACTTGTTGGTTATTTTGGTGATAGAAGTGGTCGAAAAATACGTTGGATAGCTGTATCAATGGGTATACTTGCTGGTGGTTTTCTTGTTATGTCATTTCCACATTTACTTGAATCAAAACGTGGTAAACCACCATTAGAACCACATATTGCTGATCATTTAACATTATGTAATCCAAATCGAAAAATAAATGTTTGTTCAATTTCCAATAATCTTAGATTTTTAAGTCATTTAAAATATGTTTTCTATTTATCCAATATAATTAATGCATTTGGATCCGCTGCTTTACCAACATTAGCTGTTACTTTAATTGAAGATTTATTTCCACCAGAAAAAACACCTATTGCTCAAGGTTAGTTATCAAAGTCATGTTAATATTTGAAATAACGATTGTTTTGTTTTTGTTTTTATTTTATTTTATCAGGTGCATATTATGCCATTGGAGGAATAGGTATTGGTCTTGGATTTCTTGCTACATCACAATTTTTAAAAGTTTATACCTATATTAAAAAACCACTTTGGTTAACACCAGTCTATTCTGAATGGGTTGGTGCTTGGTGGTTAGTTTATGCATTGGGTACTTGCATAAGCCTTATACTTTGTCTTTCTCTTTGCATATTTGATATTGGTCATCGTCGGCGTAAATCTGCCACATCAAAAAAAGAACTTCAATCAACATTAAATCAAACATATCAATTATTAACAGCATCAACAATAAATCAAAATGATTCAATACAAAATAATCGTTGTATATCATCACGTACAAGTTCATCAACAACAAATTTAAGTTCAAGTATAAATGTTATAACAAATGAATTAAATGATAAACAACAATCTCCATCTATTGATATAATTGAAGAAAAATGTTTAACAACAACAACAACAACATTAATTAATTTTCAAGATTTTTTTTATGATATTTTTTCATTAACAAAACATTTACTTCTTAATTTACGTTTTATGGGTATAACTTGTTGTGCTATTATTGAAGCATTATTAATCAAGGGATATCTTGCTTTCTTAAGTAAACATATTGAATATCAATTTCGAACAACATCATCACATTCAAGTGTTTATATTGGAATTATTTCATTATTTTCTGTATATAAATTCATATATATATATTAATTGCAATTTGAAGTATTTCTTTTTTTTTCTATCTCCTAGGTTATTTTTGGTACACCATTAGGCGCTTATTGTGTCAAACGATACAATATGAATGGTCGTCAATGTGCGAAATTTTGTTGTATAATTCTCGCTCTCTCATCTGTGATTTTTCTTGGATTATTACTTCATTGTCGTGAACCGACAATTGGTAAAATTTTATTATGCTTTTTTTTATCGATTTCAAGCAAAAAGAAAATAATCTTTTTTTAATTAAGGAACAACACATTCCATGCCTGTCATATCAACAGCATTTGATGATGATTCTTTTGATGAACTTGCATTAGAATCAGATCGTGTTGAAAGTCCATGTAAACGAGAATGCAGTAAGAATATAAACAAAGAAAATATCTCGAAAAATTTGTTTCATTTTTGTTTTTGTAGAATGCGATATGAATATATATCAACCAGTATGCGATGTAGCAAATCGAGAAACTTATCAAAATCCATGTTTATTAGGTTGTAAAAGAATTCTTAAAGGAAAATATGCTGATTGTTTATGTTTACCAAATAATAGTACAGTTAATGTTGGTAAGTTAAAAATTTGCAAAAAGAAAAACTAATTATGAAAAATTTCTTGTCATTAATACAAAAAATTAATTTAGGTCGGTGTAAAGAACGAAAGTGTACAATCAATTTTAGGATTACGTTATGTGGTGCATTTATTGTTGTATTTATGTCGTGTTGTGTTATTGTACCAGCATTAAAATGTGTATTGCATAGTGTTCAGTTAACACATCGAGCATTTTCACTTGGTTTTAAATCTACAATGACAAAAACATTTGGTTATTTACCAGGAACAATTTTATTTGGTGCAATTATTGATCGAACATGTAAAACATGGATACGTGAAACATGCGGACTTAAAGATCAATGTAAACACTATAATAATAAACGTATGGCAATATCATTAGCATTACTTGGTTGTGGTTTTCGAAGTTTATCGGCTCTATTTTGTGCTATATCATGGTATGCTTATATTAAAAAGCCTGATATAGAAGAAAGAAAAAAATCCAATGAACAACATTCAGAAATTATAGCAGTTGATATACGCCATCGTGTTGATATTTAATTTTGTTGTATCAGAAAAAAATTTTTTTTTTTTAAATTCTTTATCTAGTCATTTAGACTTACCTACTTCCGTTTGTGAATTTGTATCTATATTTGTTATGTTAATTTATAAAGATATATGTGCATGTGTGTAATTTTCAATGGGTTTTCTTCTATATGCGTTACATAACAACGATAAATAAATAAGAAAAAAATAATCGAGTTGGGTTTGAAAATTTCAATGAAAGATCTTATTTTAGAATAAATTAATTAAGTTGAACGATGAGACAGAAATAGTCAGAACAAAAAAATTAGTTTTATCCAAAAAAAGAAATATGATTATAATGATAGCATATGAAAAAGAAATGACGTATATTGCCACAAGGGTTAAATTGAGCTATTGACAACCGATCCAGATTGAATGGATCACATTCCAAATTCCAAACATATTCCGAAATTTGATAGGCAAAGAAAAAATGCCAGACTTACTTTATCTGATAACATTTACATTCTT